AATTTATACTGAATTGGGAAAGATGGAGCACTCCTCATTAAAATATAATTTTCATAGGCAGGCCTGTTGACCCAACACAGTGAATAGCTAATAGAGAAAATTCAGGCCACAGGATGGTGCTATGGAAAAGATAGTGTTGAGCAAGGAGAGCTCATTCTAGGTACATTAGGCAACAAATTTTCACATCCATCCGTGCGACTGGCTTTGCCTATTTGCATAAACTGCCTGGTCTAAGTGGTCTATTCCAATGCTTTTAGATTGTTCTCAGAGTCATAGGCCAAAAAATTTCTCTTCGCCACCACAGTAGCAATAAGCTCCCACACATTTCACAAAGGTCCAGTGGTCCTTCTGGTCATCTCAGTCCGTCTTACCTCCTGTGCCAGTAAGAATTCTATCTGGCTTCATATAATAAGAAAACTCCCAAATGATGGTAATGGAAACAGTAGATGTTCAATCTTCTCTCAGGTAGAGTAATTCTAGAGTTGGAGAGTCTAGGTTCAGTCTGACGGCCCTGCGAAGTCCAGGCCCCTTCTAGATCTCTTCGTGACTATACAAAGTCTTCCTGGTTAAATGTGGCTACAGATGCTCTAGCCATTGCATCCATGGTCCAGACACCAAACAGTGTAAGACAATGGAGAGAAGGAGATGAGCAAGCCAGGAAGTGCCACATATCACTTCCATTTACATTTGGGCAGAATTTAGTCACGTGGCTACTCTTTCCGTATCTATTACGCAGTGCCACGGAACAAACAGCCACGAAACTCTGTGGCACACAACATTACGCTTTTTTTTAATTGACAGCATTTGAGACAAATTAATGTTGAAAATGTCCACACTATTCTGCAACACCAAGCATCCATTCTCACATATCTGCAGGTTAGCTACAGTTCTGCTCATCCTGGCTGGCCTCAGACAGGAAGTTCTCAGACTGCATGGATTGAGCAAATTCTGCCTCTCACTGTGGATCTGTGAATTAATTCAATGACTCTGCCCCCTTGTCTTTTGTATTCCTTGGGCCAAACTGCCAGCCATCCAGGACATATTCTTCCAAGGATCCAAAGAGCAAGTGGAAATGGGTGATGCCTGTTAGGATCCAGGTGTAAAACTTGTACATGAGCTCCTTGATTCACGTGCTTGACCAAGGCAGGGGCACACGGGCAAGCCCAGTGTCAAGGAGCAGGGCACACAATCTTCCCACTGTCATGCAGCTAGTTAGACAGTACAGGGCTTGAGGGATGAAGGGGTCTAAAATACCATGCTTGCCTTACAGCTAAAGAAAGCTTCATTTACTATATATTTATAGCTAAGTGAAGAGACCTCAATGTGTAATACATTTAGTCATTTGTGAGGTCTCAGACCCAAAGTGATCCCACAGAGCACAGTACACATTGTGCACATTCCTTCCAGCGCTTGCCCACCTGGGCAATTATTTCCAAAACAAAGCACATAGCATTCCCAGGAGCCACGGCCTCTGCCCAAAGACTTCAGAGAGAAGAGCCTTCTTTAAAGACCCTCCCTGCTTGGGCTGAGACCTGGTTAATATAAAAACTTTTCTTTCATAAATTTCTTTCATAAGTTTCTTACATGATTAAGGCCCCAGAGGAGCACTGACCATCTGAAAATAACAAGGAAGATATTTTTGAGATATCAGCATTCCAAAATAACCCCTAAGAGGAATGCCGATAAACATCAATATCACTGGAGTTCCCTCCACCACAACAGTGAATTTTATGTATTTACATGGGATCCATACTCTGACTGGGGCAGAGGTCTTTGTGACTCTGCCCACCTTCTTGCTTGAAGAGATCATTCTCTCCGTGTCTGCTTTACAATAAATTCTACCTATATCTCTGTATGACCACCTATGTCTCTTGAATGAACTCTGTCATCAAAGGCACATAGAACCCAGAACCAAAGAGCAATGGCCTGGTTCTTCATAGAATCAGGACCCCACTCCCCAGTGACACCATGGTGGGATTCAGAGTAGGATGAAGAAACGGAACCAGGTCAAGCTACCAGACCTTGCAGGGAACCTAGAAATGTCCTGTTCTGGTGAAGTCAGAGATGTTGCTAAAGAAGGGAAGAACAGGAACACGGAGACAGTTAGCAGTCCCCCATCCCTCATGTCATATCAGCTTTGTGAAATACAAATACTTTTGCAGTTCCAGGTCACTGTAATCCTACCCTCCCCTGAAGACAGGGTTATGGAGGCTTGAGAACTTCCCATAAGAAGGCAAGGAAAGGGTGCTGGGGTTGCACAATCTCCATGACATGGAGATTGTCATGGGCCTCTTCTTACAAGTGTTCTCTTTGGAGCAGGTGTGGCAGAGTGATTTTTAGAAATACTGTACTTCAGAGGCCAAAGCTAGGAAAGATCAAATTCGACATCCGCATCAGTGGCCCCCGGCCAGGAAACACCAATGCACTCTTCACTAGCCTCTGTATTCCTTATGTCCCAGCAGATGATGTCTGAACCCTGTGCTGTCGCTGAAGCCACGGGATCGTCAAGTCCTAAACTACATTTCCAGCCTTCACTCTCACTTCCTCTCATCACATGGCAGACTTTCCAAATCTATCCATCATTCATTTGTATTTGCTGTTATCCACCTGGAAGACCACTCAGCTGCCCTCTGATGGTCAAAGTTCTCCTCATATACCAGCGCGCCACTTCATGAGGTCTTGACTGACGGCTCCTCCAACCCAGAGGGAATTTCTCCCTCTACTCCTCTCAGTCTGGTCTTGCCCTTAATCCTTCTGCGGCTCCCAGGACTTCCCACTGCATGTGAGGGCAGCACAGATGCAGGTCTTAAATCCCTGCTCACCGTGAGTGACTCCGAGGGAAACACTTGGTCTTACACATGCTTCTTTGCACATGGTAACTCTGAGCTCTGTTCCTTGTACAGAGCCCACACTCATTATTTGTTCATTCAATTTTTTAAAAACACGTATCTGAGTATTTATGGTATGCCACAAACTTTTAGGTCCTAGAGATGTACAAATAATTAAGACACTGAGTGCAGTGCAAGAATAAATGAATGAGCACTTCATCAGTGCCTGACAAAAACATAATTCTGCCTCCGTGTTGCTCCCCCATCATTACTGTCATTATCTCCTCGTGATCCTACTAGCGTAAAGAACGGAGATGAGCTAGATGATTTACAGTGTCAAAGTTCTCATAGAACGACAAATGGCACATAAAGGCAAGAGGAGAGTGGTACTAACCACATGTGGACTCAACTTTGTACAACACAATGTGTGGCCAGAGAAGTAAACCCAATTTTTGTAAAGTTTAAAGGCACTAGAGGAGATTTTGACTGTAAAGCCCCATCCCACCCATACTGTGACTCCAGACACCAGCTACTCACCCCACTGCATCATTTTGCAACCCTAGTTCCCACAAGGCGGAGTGTTGTGAAAGGATATGTGTCTCGAATACACTGGAATTCAAGGCCTTGGGGTTCTGTGCAGTGGTGAGAATCTGAATCCCTGGTTTTGGGAAAGAGGTCCAGAGAAAAGCGAGGGAAGGAAGCATGAGCAAAGGCGGAGAGTGATTCAAGGGTCAGGGAAAGCCGGGTAAGAAAGCACCTGCCAAGTGCAAGGAGAGGAATGGATGCCAAGTAAGTGCAAGAAGAAAGATGGGATGGAGGAAGTCGGTGTGGTTCTCACAGCAGACGTCACGTGGGCTCCTCCTGATAGATCCTGCACCCCTTCTGTCAATACACAGTAGGTCCTTCCATGGCTGTGTGAACTCCAAGCTTCACACTTGACCTTATCCTTATTTAGGGAAAGACTAGTTCAAAAGGTTATAAAAACACAACAGAGCATCTCCAGTTGAAGTATCGTGTGCCCAGTATCTGCTTTGAAACACTCCAAAGAAATGCCATGCACAGTGAGAAGAACGAGAAAACGAAATAGAGTTGATCATGATGGAAACCTAATGATCTGAGTCCAGGCGCTCATCCTTCTTTTCTCTCTGATTTTATGTGTAGCTGAAAATTTTCAGCATAGAAAATTTTAGAAATACAAGGAGGAAAGCAATCCGAGGAATAAGACAAGGCGATGAGCCGGCACCGAGCTCTGATCCCACAGGACAGGCGCTCTTCTTGCCGAGGACCCTGGGAAGGTCAGGCCCATCGCTGAGCTTGGCATGTGCTGCTCTGTGCATCTGCTGAAGCTCAGCTTCATGGCCAGACCTGAGCGTGTGTGTGAACTTCATTTCAGCGTTGGCTTGTGAGGCTTTTTCTGTTCCCACCTAGGGTGGCCCCGATCACACTGGGAGCCATCCAACACTGACACTGAGGCAGAGCGTGAGTGTGTCATATGTGCTGGAGGACAGAGTCAAGCTTCTGGGTCTACATGACCAGACAGGAGAGACCCCTTGGGGCCCCACCTCTGGGTGCGGAATATGGGGGCTACACCTCTCAAAAAGACGGGAACGGCATTGCTTCAAATATTTGTTTACTATGAACTTTGAGTTCCTTGAAATCTGCTATTGCTTTATTTAATTTGCCTAGGGCAAGGCTGGAGCTTGGCAGATGTTCCCTGAATTGGCATAAAATTGAATTGGAAATGGACAAAATAATCATTAAAATACACAGGGAGGTTTAACCTTTCAGTCCCCCCATGCAGACCTCTGATCTACCCAGATACTCTCTTTCTTTCTCCCTCTCTCCCCCTCTCTCCCACTTCTCTCCCCACTCTCTTTTCCCTCTTTTTCTCACTCTCTTCCTCATGAAGGATAATTAATAATTCAACCAACAATAGTGCATTCTGAAGGTTAAGAATATAGCAATTTAATTGATATTTGTTTCTGCTGGAGCACAATAATATCTCATTTTCCCCCGAGGGCAATTTTCCACTGCTGCTCCAGGTTTCTCACAATAAAACCAATCAATCCCGGGAAAACCTGAAGGTCGTTTGTTAAAAAAGAAAGATGGTAGGTAATGGGTTTGCAACAGACACAATTCCCACAATCATTATGTTTTAAACACTGACATTTATTTAGGGTTTTTTGGGCTCATACATTATTCGGATAAACTCTAATTTATATCTGTATATAATAGGCAAATATATAATACAATAAATTGCATTTATACACATAAATACAAAATTTGAGGTAGGGCCTCAAGAATAATGACTTTGTAAGTGAATAATGCACAGTATATAATACATACTCTACAAGATACTTGTGATGCATCACTTGTAACATAATATATTTTCTTCATGTACAGTTAATGAAAAAATATAAGGACCTGATTAGCGAACATATCTTTATTCATGGGCCACAGTACCCACATAAGATGCTTGCATTTAGGGTAATATCCAAGTATACAATTTAAGAAGTAACCTATTCCTTGATAGGTCCATAATAAAGTGCAAAAAAAGACCAACAAATGAGAGACAAAACAGTTCCTAGAGAATTACTAAGTATCACCCTAACAATAAAATACACCTATAAGGCAAATGGTCACCTGAAGATGTATTTCATCCACAGCAGGCAGATCAAACCAGTGCTTGCTTTTCAGAGGTGATGAATACACAGTCTGAAAACACCTTCTCTTTGGCTACAGGCTGCTCAGATGCGACCTGAGCAGAGGCCACAATTCAGAATTCCTTGGCCTTCCTGGACAACCAAAGCGAAATCTGGGCAAGACTGGAAGCTTCACTTTCCAAATCTCAGGCCCACTTTGTGGGAAAATGCGTATCCAGATGGAATCACCTGCCTTTGCTTCCAGCCCGCAGGTTTCCCTCGTGATACCCAGCGTGAAACACAGGAAATGCCTATTTGTTGGCCTTGGCCTTTTGTCGCTGCAAGACAACCTGCCACGCAGGGCACCCTCACTCAGGTCATCTGCCTCAAAGAAGCGAGTCGCAAGTGCAAACCCAGGAGCGACCACAGCGGTATGATCTTGCCACCACCTGTACTGAGTAACAGTGGTTGTGCAAGCCCCTAGGAAGAGGACAGTGACTGATGGCCATGGAAACAGAGAGAGAAGAAAACATTTAGGCACGGGAAACCATGCTGACAGGAGAGGGTGGACAGGAAGCGCCGAGGCACATGGAGATGTTAGGACAAAAACGTAAACAAAACTCAACTCCCAACGCCACTGCGGCATAAAGACACCTCAAGTCTCACCCAAAGATCATTGCATTACACTCTTTGTAAGGTGCTGCTCACAGAAATACAAGCTGATTACATTTCTTAGTATTAAAAACACATTGGAAATTTCAAAGGCGTTGAGGTCATTCAGATTCTGCATTGATCACAGATTTCATGCAATAAATAAATATACTGGAAACAAAGAAACAACTACCAAAGACATATTTGCACGTGACAAACGCAGCGTGTGACACAAAGATTAAAAGTTACTAGTATACAAGACAAATATTTGCATAAGAAGCCACAACACCAATAGTTAAGAAATATACATTATTTTCTCTTTTAAGGAAATAACAGGGTTACTGTTTTTCAATATGGCTTGTTTTTCTCTGAAAGGGTTTCTGATATCTGTTGGTGTTAGGAAATAATTTCATAACTGAAAAACCAACCAGTTTACACAGTGACCCATTGGAAGTACTTCCTAAGCAACTCAGTGTTTCCCCAGTTTGAAGGGAACCCTTTGGGTGGCAGGTGATAACCACACTATTCATTTATTTTTGTTCATTTGTTTTTTTCTTCCAGTTGATGGTGCATTTTAATAGCATGGGAGCAATCCATCTGGTCAGATACATCTCAGCTGTGAGCACCCAAGCTAAGTCCAGGGGAAGCACAAAGCTACAGATACATGACAACTTGACACACCTGGGACACTGAACCATCCTGTCAGAGAAAACCTCAAACTCCAACATGGCTGTAAAACTGACAAAACCAAATCTAAAAGCTAGCCAGTTCCAGAGAAGTCCAGAACCATTCACCTGAGCAAGTCTCTTGAAGCAAACTGTATATGAAATTAGAAAAATGTAGGAACAGAGGTTGGCACGGGAGCCCTAGCTGTTTACCAAGCATCTACTGTGTTTTTCTGGACAAATCCTAAGAGACACAAATACTGTATAACTATCCCCAAATACTACCTAAGGAGGGGGTCTCCATTCTCACAATGGAGTTAGCTTTCAGTCTGTAGACAGCGGTATCCATGTGGGGGAGCCCTCCCTCCCTTTAGTCACAAAAGTATTAATTAGCAGAAATAAGGTTGATGTCCAGCATCAGACTCAGTTTCAGCCAAGAGGCAAAAGGAAAGCCAAAGCCCATTCATCCTGACATGAACATACCAATCCCAAGAGAGAATGCTAATCAGTTTGAGATCTTTCCTTCCACCTTTGGATTGGAAAGTCTTATTATTCTGCCCCACCTCTCTTTATCAATTGTACAGACTAAATTTTGGTACCACTCTGTGACATGTGGAAGGGAATGGAGGTTCCTTATCCATATGGCTTCCTTGGGGAAATTTGATAGCGGACAGATCATAACAGCAAACACTGGACAGGCAAGGTCACACCTCAACTTCCTGAAAGTGAGTTTAGAAGCTCCAGGTTCAGTTTTTGTGAGAGTCAGCAAGGTCTAGCTCTGGGAGACAAGGGGAAAGGGAAAGGAAGAGAGAAGGAAAACATACTCCAGATGAAAGACATGAAAATCTACAATTCAGACCCATCTGTGTTTCTTTTCCCAACACCTTTCACGGGCTACTCTGCAAACCTGGACATTCACAGCCTTGTTGGCAAATGGTGATGCTCTTTGCCCTAAAAAGAAGGAAAGTGCTTAGAAAAAATAGTTCGGACACTTGCAGATACAAATGAAATCATCTTTTTAAAATGTTAACAGGAAAATCTGTTGTTGGGTTTCATTGCTGCTGAACAAGATGAAAATGTCACGTCAGTATACAAGATTTGAACTGAAAACTTTGCCTGAGACCCTTTATATGAAGGCAGATGAGTAAGAAAATGATTGAAATGGTCTCCCGGGGAGGAAACAATTTTAAGCTTAGATATTAATACTGTAAGAAAAAAAAAAAGCCCAGACTACACTATTCTAAACTCACCATCTCTATAATGATTCCTAAGATATTTATAAGGACGGAAAACACCACTACGAGTACACACTACATAAGCACGTATCACATTTTAAAAAGTTCATAAATGCATGTTCAGGATACAAGAAGATAATAAAGGTTACGGCTTCTTCGATCTCTGCAGACACGTGATTCGCTCTCATTAGAGTGCAGTTACAATGGGTGCTGTGAATAGGAAACTCTTGAAATTGAATTGGCTAAATGTAGTCTTAAAAGCTATAGTCTTATCTGGATCACTCACTACTTACCTAAGCTGCATTTATCTGAAATTTCTGTAAACACAGTGACCTAAGATGTGCTACCAGTGCAGTGAATATTATGGTTCCTTTCCCTTAAATTCTTCACGTCTTTGATTTCTCTATGACCATAATTGGCATTTAATGTCTTTTAAGAGTTTATGTCTTATATATATAATATATAGACAGAACCAGGGTAAGTCTTGTTTTCCCAGAGGTTGAAAGACAACATATCTACAGCTTATAGGAAGACACTTAGAGGAGAAGAAACAAAGGATCATGATGTTGAACCACGATACCAAGCATCACATAGAAAGCATAGTGGAGCTCTACTGTGAACATACAAAATTAGGCACAAATTATAAGATGGCTTCTTGTACAGGGAGGAGAAGAAATGACCAAAAGATCTCACAAGTGTGGTTATTAAAAGAAAAGATGTCTAAGGGCAAAGAATGGACGTTTTACTCAGCCCCCTAGTGTACAAGAGCAGAGCATCTGAGTTTGTAGTGTCCTTGCTCCAAATGAGGAAACAGATCTGGTGACGGCTGAAAATATGAACTTACCAGCCTCAGTAGTGTCCAAATGGACCAGCTTTGCTTTATATCCAAAACAATGTCTGGCCACTGCTGTCCCTCTAAATGTATCCTGTCCTGAGCTTCGGAGGCCTGAACGAAATCACTGCATTACGCAGCTCAGTTCTGCAATGCTGCTGTGTCCAAATTCACAGTCCTGAAACTCTGCCCTTCTATGCCTGGCACCCCAGTGACAAAACACAGCAGATCCTCCTCTGCTAACCAAACTGTGTACATCTCCTAGCACTCACTGAGGCCCCAAGGGATGAGACTGTGCTCAGGAGACCAACACTTCTAGAAACTGACACCATGAGCACAAACAAACAGCGCTTCAAGTGGTCCATATAGCTCTCACTATAGCAGGCGGTACTAGGTCCTACTTTTCTACCACACTCATGCATGGTTGTGAACCAAGATATGGAGAGGAGGATGAGAGGGAGCCTGGGAAAAATCTTAGGGGGAGGCAGAGAGAACACACAGGATTAAAGACTGGATCATTCCACACCGCTGGACTAGCACTGGGTACCCAGTTCCAAATCCTTGACTGGCAGTTTGAGTCCCAGGGACGAGGTCCCCAGGGGGTCGATCATGTTCTTGTAGCGCTCCCCGCGATGTTGAGCTAAGAATGGACCCCAGTCTGGCTGCGGCGAGCACACCAACTTCAGCCTCTGCAGAGAAATCAAAGACAGTCGTGGTTACAGAAGCAATGCACACCACCCCTACCCCCAGGGACCGTGCACTCATGCCCAAGCTGCTTAGGACCACGTTGGCACCGCCCCTGCTTAGGTTCAAGAGAGGTAGTTAGGAAGATCAGTCCCATTAATGAACTAGCCCAGGGATAATAGAGAGGAGAGTCAGTGTGGCTCGCTTGAAACTATTTCTATCACCCTGCAAGCAATATTACAAATGCATGTTTACCTTGCACAAAATTAATGAAGGATAAAGGGCCCATGCCTTAATTATACCTTTTTCCCTCCAAATGACAACAGTCTGTGAGCTACAGTCTGTGAAAGACGTGTGCTCAATTACTTCTGTCCTGTAGTCTCAAGAGTGGATCACTACATCAAAATAATTGCATTTGGTTTAGTATATTTTCCAAAAGTATATAAATGACAAGGAAAAAAAAAAGCAACCCCAAAGATACACTGCCAGCAGTGAGCAAAGGTTGTAATGGTCTATTGACAAAAATACTCGCTTCTGACTTGGTTCAATGGTGTGGGTTCTCTTAGGCAAGCTGAAAATAATGGGAGTGTCTCTATTCCTTCAACTGAAATTTTTAGGGAAAACGTAATTTGTCTGGAACGTTTTCCAGAAAAAAAGAAAGAAAACATATTTCTGACTATATAAGAGGGAATAATTATATGTTTATTACCTATTAAAGCAAAGCTGGTTCTTATAGCTATTAGTTTAATCTCTCTTTAATCATCATTTTGCAACCTTTGTGTCCCAAATCAACCATAATAAATTTGTAGAACTGACTCATTGGTTTAGAGAATTTAGCCTAAGACAACAGTAGCAGGAGCTAAAACTGGGTTCTGCTTCAAGGGAGAGAGATTTCTGGGTCTCACTGCGGGGAGGTTGATCTGGGGCAGGCACAGGCCCTCTCTGGAGGAAAATGTGTCCCCTTTAGCTCAAGGGGATGATGCGTAGGATGCAAACTGGAATGGAGCTTTAATAAGAAGACTCCTATGCTCCTCTTACCAACTCTAACTCCATCTGCAGGCCAAGGAGTACAGAAGCTGCCGGCCCACCTGCAGACATTTGTTTTGTGCACCTACTATGCACCGTATTCCCAACCCGCTTCTATGCCTCTTCCTTTTATCAGTCTGGCTACCAAGAGCAACACCTCCATGGCTGTTCTCTGCGCTTTGCTGACAGGTGTTTCTTCACCTTGATCTAGTCCAGGGCTTCTCTAACTTGAGCATGCAGCTGCATCACCTGCAAGCCATGCCAGGATTCCATTTCCTCCCTATTCTGGTTCAGTGGAGCTGCCTGGTACCTGTTGATTTACATTTCCAGTATCTTCATAAGTGGTTTCTGGACGAAAACCTAAGTAGCACTGGTGTGGTCCAAAATAACCCTGAATCAGGGGCTGGGGAGTTAGCTCAGAGGCACAGAGCCTGCCTGGCTAGTGCAAGGTTGTGAGTTCAATTCCCAGTACCAGAAAAAAAAAAAAAAAAAAAAAACAGACAAAATACCCCTGGATCTTCAAGCCAGAGGCAGGGCTGGAGGATCTGTAGCATCCCTACACATGTGACTTCTCATAAGTAAGAAAAGCCTGACCATACTTCACAGGTGACTCAACAAGTGGTGATTGGGGATTCTTTGCATTACAGATGGGAAACAGGTTGGGCAAGGGATTAAGAAAGCCAGTCCCACCTCATTTCAGTGACTGCCAGAACTCTCATTAAGTTAGACTAGAGACAAGAATCAGCTAGGACCTCTCAGTCATTCCTAACACAAGGACAAGAGGAACGGGTGGCGATTGTGAGTTTAATGGTAACAGATGTTTGGGACGGAAGGAGGCTTAGAGGAGAACAGGAGAGGGGAAAGCTGATGTCGATAAAAACGAGACTTTGGGATTTTAAATTACGGCTGAGGAGGGCGGAGGAGAAAGCTCCAGGAAAGAGGAGACACCGATCATTTATTCCCCGGAGCCGTCACCACACTGAGGAATAGCATTATAACAGCTCAGCCTGTAAATTGGCTGAGCCGTTCCATTAGAGGAAAAATAATAAAAATGGGTTTAATAGAAATGGTGGCAACTGTAATCACTTAATCACCAAGTCTCCCTCTTGAATAAGTTTACTGAATCTTTTGTTTTATAATGAAAAGAGCTTTTAGGGGTTCTCCCTTGGGAGAGGCTGGGGGGGTAGAATTACCTCAATAAATCTGCCAGGAGCCAGATGCATTTTTATCACAAACATAATTGGGATCCAGATAACGGAGCAAGCGAGCATGAGCCATCCCAGCACCATGGACCAGTTAGGGTAGCGGTAAGAGCCGTACGTCATGGGCTCCCACTGGTAAAAGCTGAAGCACAGGATAAACTGGGAATAAAAGAGAAACACACGCATTAGGACAGTGGTGTGAACTGTTCATTCATTCACCAGGCATGCGCTGAAGCCCCTCTCATGTGTCTGATGCTTTCGTCTCTATTATTGCATCTTATACCCACATTTGCCCTGAAATGGAATTTTCCAAATGAAGAAAGTGCATTTCAAAGAGAGGAAGATGACACACACTCAGCCGCTGACCCTGCACTCGCTGTCCCTTGGGAACTGAGACACACACACACACACAGACACACATACACACACACACACACGCACGCACACACACACACACACACACACACGCACACACACACACACACACATGCACATACACAGATATGCACGCAGTCAGGCTGAGAAGCCAACAGAAAGGATGTCACCAAAGAGACCGGGGGTGGGGAAGGGGGGAGAAGGTGGAAGTTTTCAGAGATGGCCTTTTTCTAGAATGGGCAATCAAGCTTCAGTGAAAAGAAAGAAGCCTGGAAAATTTATGTGTTTTAATTTTTAATGTCTTGAATCCACTTGACTTTCTCCTTGACTGGACCATTTCCAGAAGCTGCCACTAAAGCTCATACTCAAAGTGGTCCCCAAGCAGTGACTGAGCCAGAAAGCTGGTCCTATAATAAGCTGCGGGACAATGAAAAGCGTGCACAGCTCCCGCCTCCACGGACTCCAGGTGAAGGAGTCAGCACCACATGGCGAGCCGAGAGCCCAGAGATGAGCAGACTAATCTTGGCTCCCACTAATTAGCTGAGGGACCTTGAAGCCTCAGACTCCCCTGCTATGAGGAGCCTACAGTTCCCACCACGTGCAGAGCACAGGGGTTGTGGGAACAACGGTCTAGTATTTCCTCTGGAGCCCTCTTGGCTTTAAGAGAGATCACCAAGCATTTTCTGCCCACTGTCCCCATCGCTGCAAGCTTTGCCTGGCAACAGCAGTGAGACTGTCCTGAGGGCTGGGGTGAGGGGACAAGAGCGCTGAGAACAGAGGCACCTGCAGAGATGGAGGGAGGGCTCTGGCTGCCCCAGCCAAGCCTTCGCGGGGGTGGCGTTTCCCAGAGAAGACTGTGTGGCTCGCTGTATTTACCCTACCTACAATGCTTCAGCCCGGAACTATGGTCCACTTGCCTTCTCCATCTCTCGCCCTGCCATAAGCTATAAAATAACTGCCTGAAAATGATTGCAGGAAATTATGTCAGGAAAAATAACATATGGGAGTGTTTGGGGGAAATCACGAAGCACTGTACAAATGCAGAGCATCTATATTATTGTTGCAAAGCTCAGGCTGCTGGCGTGAGCCATTATTTCCAGGCAAGGATAATTCAATATATTGAATTGCACAACACAAGCAACACAAGCCTGGAGATAACTGTTGAGAAAAAGATGCTCCTATGGAAAGAGATGTGTACTTTAGGCCCTCTGTTAAACATATGCCTGTCGACTTACAAGCTTTATTAACCAGTCTATTGGAAGTATAGCCCAACGTAATTATGGGAAGCTGCTCCATTTCATTTACTATATAAATAGCAATACATCTGCTATGTGTGTGCATAAGTCAGTAACATGATCTGACTATGTATACAATAATTGCATGGCGAATATTTATAGCTCTATAAATCCATGAAGGCATGTGTAAAATGATCAATTTTATTTCAGAGGCTCTGGAGCAATTGAAACACATGATCTTAGTATACTGCAGCACATCACAAATATCCGTTTTATAGCAGGGCAAATGGCAAAGTGGAAGCACTGGGTGTGGTCCTTTGGTGCCCATTTCTAGTTGCACAAATATCACATCAAGCTTAGAGGTATAAATGTGTCCTGTGCTAAACTGGTTCCCCCTGCCACATCGGCTTTGGTAAATCCCTGTCCTCCAGTGGGCTTGACCATGAGTGATGGTGATCTAGCCACCAAGTCAGGTCTACCCCGACCTTTGGCTGAATGGCAGCCAATGAAGGTGCTGGGAACTCACAGACTGGCAATGACAATAGAAGTGAGGATGGAAATGACCACCTCTAATTGTCCCTACCTTCTCAACAGCACAGAGGGGAAATTTGGTTCAAGATACTTTCCAAAGCATTCTACAGCTTTCCGACATGAGTTTTCTCATTGAAATCAAGCAAAACACAGCATAGTTGAGGAGCATCCTCACAAAGCACAGCATCTCTAGAATTCCTCTTTTCTAATATTGTGCTCATAAAGACTAAGAAAGTTTAATGCAAGTACACAAAACTAACCCCGCTTGGAGATGACAGCCTGGGTTTAGAACATAGACTGGAAGCCTAGACATCCCTGGCCTCAGTTGTTGGCTCTGACATCTCCAAGCCTCACAGCGCATCTATAAAACGGGGAGGGCATTGACCAGCAGGAGGAGTGGTCATAAACTTTTGAGACAATGTCCATCACACGCCTCTCTCATAAGGGACCTCAGCACCACAGAGCAGCTCTGGTTATGATTGGGTGATGTGCTTCTCCAGGAAACAGCTAAATTCTCTCAAACTTAATCCCTTCTAGGACAGGAGAAAAAGGAAGACAGAAGCTAGAACAAATTCTAACTTGGACTCAGCCAAGAATAAACCACGAGGAGCAGTAACTGGAGGAAATGGCCGAGCTGGGCAGACACAGAGAACACTTGTGTCCGAGAGCCTGGCCGCTGAAGGGCCCCGCCAGGGACTGCTACTCGCCTGCAGGGAAGCCCCAGTTCCTCACACATGTTCAACTACCTGTCTCAGTCCTTTCCAACGTCACACCCCAAATCTGGTGGGACTTTTCAGACAAATTCCAGCCTCCTATCTGGGTATGACGTCTGCGTCAGTGCAGGCAGGGACAAGTCCTGAGTGGCCCTCTTGTCACAACCTCTAGCTTTTCAGGATGAAACTGGGGCATTTTGATTAAAACTCACTTTGTGACAAAAATAAAAAAAGGAAGGAAGAAAGGAAGAAAAGAAAGAAGAAAGGAAGAAAAAAAGGAAGGAAGGAAGGGAGGATTTTCTTTGCAATCATATTTTTATCCATTCTGTCTTGTGCTCCTTTTTTAATATTTGATTGGTATATATTTATGATGCATAATTATATTCATTTTGAGAAATATAATCAAAAAAGACAGTAAACGTTTTTAAAAATGTATCACAGTAAAGGACACATTGACATTATTTCCCCTCAAAAATATTCAAAGTACTCTCCCGCATTTCAGACACATGTGACCTGTCATTCTTATCAATGTGTCTTTTATCTTAATAAGTTTTTTTTTAATGTAAACATTCACTACCTATTTTGACCATCATTTTTGATCTCCTTACTCCCACTCTTCCCTTGCTCTCCTTCCCCATCTCCAAAAAGGCTACATCCTCCTTGTGTCTCTTTAAAAAAAAAAAAAAAGCTATATGTTTGCAGCACATAATAATTGTATTCCTTGGTCTTGTTTCCTAAGCAAAGTATGCACGCTGAACGAAAATGAAAGATCTTAATCTGGCTTCTACTGCCACCTACTGGGTGAAGCAGAAGTTACAACTTCCTGGGGATTTGACAACATGATCCCCATAAGAAGCCAGATAATAGGACAGAGGCAGGTGGGCTAGACAGGAACGGAAAGCAAGATCTCCATTAATGACTGTGCTTGGAGAGCAGCGCGAGGGAAACATAGCTTATGGCAAGTCCCGAAGGCGGCAACATGTGACTGCAAGACTTCACAGATTTGCTGACATGTGAAAGGGTCCCATCTTTAAAAAGATGAATTTCAGACGATCCCAAAATGTTACCTTCACACTGGAGGATGACAAGATAGTCCTCAAAAGCAAGAGAAATGAACAACAAAAGTCTGATTAATGCTAGCTTAGTTGTGGAGCAGCTGCACCGAGCATTGCCTGGGGGCATGAGTTCAAATCCAGACTATTGTTAATCATTAGGTGGACGAGGCTGGTCAAGTCACAAAACCTCTGGGCTTTAGTTTCCTCATCTGCAGTGTGGAGATAATTACTATACCTGCCCCATACAGCCCGTCATGGCTTAATCAGAATGTCCCCAGAATCCTGGTATGTCCAGCGGTGGGGCTTTCTGAAGGTGATTGGGTCTCGGGGGCCCTGTGCTTGTCAGTGGATTTATCCTCTGCAGAATTCAGAGCGGACTTTCTGCTGGGAGGGGCGGCCACTGGGGGCATGACCTGGAAGGGTACAGCCCCCAACCCAGCTTCTCCCTTGTCTTTGTGCTTCCCGGATACCATGATGTAAGCAGCTCTCCTCCACCAGACCCTTTCACCACGCCCTTCCTGCCCTGGAGCCGGCTGACTATTGAGTGAATTCCCTAAAACCCATGAGCCAAAATAAACCTTTCCTCTTTTAAGTTGTGGGAGTCAGGAATTGTGTCCCAGTGACAGGAAAGTGACTAAGACAGAACGTCCAAAGGAGACAGAGGAGGACCCTTGAACAGAACCTGAAGCATGTTAGCATGTGGTGCATGTCAGCTGTGACTGCGTTTGCAACCAGATTATAAGGCAGGTTCATATAATGGGAAATGCTCCAAGGAGTGCTCCAAAAACCCATGCATCAGATGCAGCTCTGCACCTGACCAGCTGGATACCTTTAGGCAAGTCACTTCACCTCTCTAAAGGTCAGTTTCCTCACCTGAAAGACAAGAATACTACCCCTCCCACCAGCTTCCCAGGTTCACACACAGGCACACATATCTTCAAATGTAACTGTCACATATGCATGCAAGGCGCTATCCATGAGAGAAAACATGCAGTCCTTACAGTTAGAATGGTTGGAGTTACAAACGCCCAGCAGACTTTCCAGAAAATGTTGGGCTGGAATCCAATCATCATCTCTATGTCCTCACAGAATCTTTGCAAGCCTGCAAATAAAGAAGCAGAGAGAAAGAATGAGGTACAGAGCCCCCAGGTGAGGAGGGGCAGGCACTAGAGCCCTTCATTCAAGAGCCATTGGTTGGGGATGGCCCCAGCCTGCTGTCAACTTGACCTCTATTATGCAGAGAATCATCAGACCAGTGACTTGTTGCCAGGAAGATTAGGGCAAATGGAACATTTAAATAGATATTAAATACTCTCTGCAGTGAGGTGCAAAAATGTCAGACTGCAGTGACATATAAAAAGCTCAGTTCCAGCCCAAAGGTCTCAGCACTGCCACAGCCTGGAAGTCCATGTATGTGGCTGTTTTCTGAGTTAGTCTGATGTGCTTAGGGAGAAGTCTGATACAACCAATTAAGATTGTAGTCAATAAATACAGTGTCTTATGAAAGCCTCGGGATTTAGAGCAAAAATCACTATATGTTGGTTTTCTGGCCCCCACCTCCCAAGAATGCTTTCCATCACCCACTTTGTTTCAGTCAAAGGATGGCTGGCTGTCTTCTCAGTCACTCAGCAACATCGCTTACGTAAAATACAAGGAAGACAGTTATTGTCCTGGCCCATGTAGCCACCATCCCTATACCCTGTTGGTTCAGGAAGGTTTTCAGACCACTCCTTGAAAGGGAAAGCCACTGAGGAATGTTTAAAATTGAATAGTTTCCCCCATTCCTTCCTGAGCTTGTTAGATGTGTGGCCTTCTCAGAACTGTGGGATCGATAATGCCAAACAGACCTGAGGTTCGCAAGTTCAAGCTCCTTTGAATTCAGCATTTCTGAAAATCCATCCAGCTGTACCTTGAAGTCACATGGCCCTTGTGGAGAGAAGGAGGCCCTAGTGCACTCACTCTTGGTGGGAGTGTAATTGGCACAGCCACTGTGGAAAACCTTCTGGGGGCTCCTCAAAAAGTTAAAGTTACCATATGATCTAGCAGTCCTACTCCCGGGGTAGAGTGAAGGGATTTCAAGTCAGTGTGGCAAACTTGACCTCTATTATGACACTTTATTAAGACACTTGCACTCCTGTGTTTACTGCAGCAAGATTCACAACAGACCTGAACACCTCAGCTGATGGCTGAATAAAGAAAATGTGAGATAGATATAGATATGTATAATATTTAGCCCTTACAAAGAGAAATAACGTCATACACAGCTACCTGAGTAGACCTGGAAGACATGATGCTACGTGAAATAAATAAGCCAGGCACAGAAAAACAAATACTACATGAGCTCACTTATAGGTGGAATCTTTAAGAACGGAACCCATAGGAGCAGAGAGCAGAATGACGGTAGCAGCCACAAGGTTAGGGGAAAAAATGATAAGTACTTGAGGTGATGGATACACCCATTAGCTTGATTCACTCATCCCACAATGTACACATATATCACTGTATCACATTACACCCCATAAATATACACAACCACAACCTGTTAATATCCAGTAAAACAAGTAACTGCCTTTATACTCTTAAAAAGAAGTGCTGCTTCTCCTATGCATGTAAAACTTTCATGGTAAAGTTTAGTAGAGAAAGGCCACTCTGGCCACCACCATCAAAACGCTGATGTTGGGATCATTTCCGGTCTTCAGTTCCTCGGATTTGCTTCTGCTTCCTGCCAACCTCAGACCAGAACATCGGCGAGCCCTCATCACTGAATCTCTGGGTTTCCTGGACAGAAGCATCTCAGAGCACAGCCTAAACTCAGGATGCGATACAGCAGCCCGTGCAAGGGGAGTTCAGGGAGCACCAAAAGCAACTTTACTCAAGTCGTTTGACAGTTTCTTGCTGAAGCTGAGTTTCCTGCTCTACTTAAAGGCAACTCTGATGGCGGAGCAAGGGAAAAGCCCTGAACCAGGAGCTAGGATCCAAGAATGGAGCCCGGTGCTGCACCTAACCCACTGTGTGAACTTAGCCAAGACCCTTCCCCTCTCAGAGCTTCGCTGGTTTAGTGAGAGGACTGGGCCAGGTGAGCTCTTGGGTATCTGCTCAGGGACAGAGGCTTCAGCTTGCTTCCTTGGGTTGATAGGCAAGAAACGGATCCTTTAAGCAGTGAACGTCACCAACTTGGAGTTGGTTGGTTTGTTTTCTTTAGTGTCTTGTCAAGCACCTTCAGATGAGTGACTTCTGGATACTACACCCCATAAATGTAAGTGAGGAGAGAGGACCAAAGAAACACAAGTCAAAGTTAAGGTCCTCATCACACCAAAGCACTGAAAGCAGGCCTCAGTTCTGAGAGGGAAGGAGAAAGAGAAAGATTCTAGAAACTTCTGCTGTTAGCATCAGTCCCGCTGCCCACTCTTCCTCTCCACTCACCCATCCCCAAGAGATAGTGACATGTGGCTTGACTGGGGACACTGATGTGACAGAGTTGGGGTCACACCTGAAGAAGACAACTAGCAGCCTCCTTTCAGAGGTAAGAGACCACGGCAATGTGCTCAAGCTTCCCCCGAGGGGAAAGGAGTGGCACCCCCAGTTGTGGAAAGGGAGGATGATAGGTGTTCAGTTTGAAGCAAGAGGCACCTCAGTAGCGCAGTCCTGGGGCTGACAGTGAAAAGGTTGAGTCCTGGGGCCATTTCAGACCTGAGTGTCACCTTCCTCTTTGGACCTCCCACAGGTGATACAGACACCTGATCTCTGCCTCAGACAGCTCCTGGTCCTGTGACTGCTGTCTGTGCTGCCAATTTGGAGACTGGCCCTGCAGATGCAGACCAGGGGCACCTACTGGGAACCACCAGGCGACCCTCCTCCCCCGTGCCTGCTACCGAGGCAAGCTCTCAGTCAGTGTCCGCAGCCTCTGCCTCACTCCAGAGCCCTCCAGCCCGGGTCTCCAATGCCTTGGCTCATGTCCAAGTCACCACTAGGAGTCTATTGTGTCTACGGCTGTCTTCACCTAGGCCTTTGTTTAGAGGGCTTCCCCTACCTGCTCTGTATGTTCCGCTAATCCAGTCCTTCAAAGTCTAACTTCTAACAAGCAAGTTGTGCAGGGAGCTTGGGCGCATGGAGAGATCTGCATGCTGCAAGCCCTTGAGGCCAGAGCATAAGACAGCAAGTGGTCAGCAAGAGCATAAGACAGTAAGTGGTCAGGCCTCACAAGGGAGCTGAGCAGCTGCTTCTCCATGACTAGCCTGAATTCACAGAAAAACATGGGGCTGGAGGAAAGCGGTGAACTCATGGCTGCTTTCTACACTCAACAAACAGAAGCAAGACTCAGAAACTGGTCTCCATAACAACCACACACGGCCAATCATCCAGAACTGGGAAGTCAAGGCCTTTCTTCAGTTGATCCATCGCTTGCCCTGTGAAAGTGTGGGGCTTTGGCCTCTGTAAACCACACCTTGCCCTTGGTCTGGACAGAATCCTGGGTGGGGACTGCTTGGGGTGGGGCTGGAGCGTCCTGGCACTTCAGTTGTACAGATGCCCAGGAGGACACTGTACCTGATTTTATGGGGTCCAGGAGGACACTGTACCTACATTTATGGGGCCCAGTCCTCTCACTAAACCAGCGAATCTCACTAAACCAGAATCAGGACACTGTACCTGATTCTTCTGCCACTGGCTGGGAACTCTTAATTTTTTAACAGGGGATATCACATTTTTATTTTATATTACATCCCACAAATTACATCTCAGTCCTGTGTGTACCTATGTACAAGAAACCCCCAAATTATTGTTTTACGGCTAACGTGAAATACCATACCTGAGACCCAAAGCCTTCTGCGTTAATTAGGTTTCCCTGCGTCGCTTAGGATTTCAGCCTAACAAGCCTAGATCTCAGTGTTCATTCCTTTTATATTATTCATCTCTGAGGTGCCACCTTCTCACGCTTTTCCTGACTACGCAGGCCCTGCTTTGGCTCTGGGCAGCACAGGGGCTCCTAGCTAGGGAGCCAACACTTAGCATTGACCTTCTCCATTTCGTAAGCACATTTTCTCTCCACTGGTAGCTGGTAGGCCATCTCCATCACTGTGGGAAGTTGTCCTTCTCCTCCCTATTTTTAATAGGAGCACACAGCATACAGTGAGCTAGCGGGTGGATGCCAGGGCGGGACTGTTCCATCGCATCCTCCCCCAGCTAGAAAGTCCCTGTGCTGGATCCCAGGAAAATGCCCATCATTTTTTCAATGTGATTCGACTTCAATAAAAGTCAGTGATGAGGTTCACCACTGTGCATACTCGGGAAATCCCACTTTAGACCTGAAACTGGCTGCCGATTGGCCTTTGAGCCAAGCTGACCTGAGAATCTTAATTGGCTATTTCAATCTAACCTTGAATATTGTATCCAAGGTTAACTTGAATATTGCATTCAAGTTAAAACTTGAATATTGTATCCGCTGTATATCAGCTGCCAGAAGTAGTCTAGTAGTGTAGGAGTCTAGAGATTATTAGGAGTAAGTAGAAAACACAAACAATCCACTTGCTTATTTCTCAAATTCTGTAGCCAGGAAGGCAATGCACTAAATGGATCAGGTTTCTTTTCATTCTTTGCAAAGGTTCTTTTCTTTCATTCTTGGCAAAGGTTCATGTTCAGGTGCCTCACACTAACTTGACCCTGGTTTGGGGCCTAAAGAAAGCTCTGTCCCCAGGAAAGCAATTCACATACTTGTGCAAGCTCTTTTTCATTGCTAACAACAGTGTTAGCTAATCTCACTGTTTTCTTTCTGAGATTTACTTCTTAACACTCCACCTAGATCCAAGTCCAGCCTGCTGGAGTTAGGATTGTGAGAGCTGCTTAAGGCCACCAGCTCCCTTAGGGACCAGAGGGTTTCCTGTCCCCAGTTAATTTAGCAAAGTTCAGGGGCTGAAGCACTCAGAGTTTATTTATTCCTTCCAAGCCAAGAGATCTAATAGCAGATATATGTGAAAGAGGGAGGAGGAAGCTATTTAACGTTTAAAAACAGAAATGTTAAAAGGTTTCCATTTTAATGATGCTTTTAAACCACACTGAATGGGCCTGCTTTATAGGGCAAACTGCACTCTCACCAGTGGAGCTTGTGGTATCATATCTCATTCTCCACTCTCCTAAGAATGAACTTCCAGTTCCTTTACAGTTTGCCCTATAAAGGAATAAATAAACTCTGAGTGCTTCAAGCTACACAGGCTTTGCAGCTACCAAGACTAAGATCTAATTTCACACCTGCAAGGTAGCAGCAGGCCATCGTCCTCAGATATTAACTATTCACCTGCCAGACCACACCAAAGGCACGCCCTAGAGACTTCTGAGTTTCACCACCAGTCACGTTTGGTCACTCTATGAAATCTGGATCACAGTGATTCTGAGGCAAGCTTGGAAGTAAAGGAGCAATTTTAATCCCATCATTGTCTTGTGGATACAGGTATTCTGCTTGCCAGGAATGCCTCAGGAGCCCTGAGGTCCTGCCTCTCCTGCAGGCATGGTGACTCCCTTACCGTAGATGTAGGAGATTCCCACGAGCTCGAAGATGGCAATGATGACGAGGGCGTAGGAGGCAGCATACGTGTCCACAAGCTGGAACATGTAAATTCCACCCTAAAGAGAGAGAAGCAGGCACCATCAAGCGGGCCCTGGAACTAGTCTCTCTCCTCCTGCTTCTAAAGCCAAACTTCCCCATCTTGGGGCACAAACAGGAGTCAAAGGGTCTCCCCTCTTCCCAAAAACAATAACCTAAACCTGGGCACATGTGTAAACTGGAGACCTCACCAGGACAGCAAAGCAGTTCCTTGACCCGCTCTGAATAATCAATTGAACAAGCACTCAGAAAAGTGATTTAACATCTGATGTTTCAAAGGCAAAGGTCAACACCTGAAGATATATGTGAAAGTAGCCGAAATGCTTTGTTTCTGCCTAAGCAAGCAATGACCCTTTTCACCCATATGTGCGTTTGATTGCCCTTCATATGACCTTTAGATACCTCTGGGCATTCTTCGTGCATCCCAACGTTTCTCTACCTTACTCTTTAAATCTCCTTACAGGAGGTAAAGCTTAGAAACCAACTCATTCAAATCCATCATTTTACAGAAGAAGAAATTAAGGCCCAGAAGAGTGACTTGCTTCAGGTCACACAGACAGCAAGAGCGGTGTATACACTGAGCGCGTCAACATCCCATTTACCCAGACATAGAAGAGATGGGAGTGACTCTAGGGTTTGGCCTAGGATGAGTAATAACTTGGAAATGTACCTAGCTGGTAAATGTGAAGTTTTATGTTTGCCATTACATTAAGTAGGACACACCTGTCTTGTTGGCTTAAGAAGGCTACATCTCTATTACAAGGATGCTAGAAACGTCCCTCGTGGCCAAGATGACATATTTCCCTCTGCGGTCAGAAGCCCTAATGAAGTGGTGCTGTTGAAGTGGAAATGGTGATGATGTACCTAAGCGTATAAGGTCTGAGAGCTAAGGCCATCGGCCCCTCGCCCACCTGGCCCACTCCAAGCCTGAGCCCAGCACCCCTTACCTGCGTGATCATTGGAAAGCCCATGATGAAGAAGCAAACACAGCAGCCCAGTGTGAAGACCGGCTTGTGCGTGCGCAGGTACTTGGGAAACTCATCGGAGATGGACGTCACTATGGTCTCGATGGTGGCAAACTGGAACAAGTGTCAGAAAAGCAGCAGCTGCGTCAGGCTGTCCCACTCACAAATCCCATAGAGAGCTCTCTGCAGGTCTCAGCAGCGAAAGCCATGTCGGTGTTAGGTTTGGTTTTAAGGAGGGCATTCTTTGGTTGGGTCTAAAAGACCTTACTGGGGTGCAACCCACAAGGCTACGCAGGAGAAGTCCAGCAGGGTAGGAGCTTCAGAAACCATGCTTCTAGCCCCCAGAGAATGCACTCATACTCATCCATCAGGATGTTTTAAGCTTCATTTTGCATTCATGACATGTAAATTCCTCTCCTCCAGTTAACTCACATTTGATCTTCTCCTTGAGAAAAAACCCTCTTTGTCCCAGTGACTAAACTACCCGTTTTGTCAGCATGACTTGCAGTAGTCTCAGGCCCACTGCAATTTCCCTAACACTGACTTCGTGTTATCCTCCCTTTGTCAGCCCCATAGAATATACTGTGGTTAAAAAAAAATGCCAAGAGGCAGAAGTATGCAGGCTAAAACCTGGCACAGTGTGTACTAAGGGCACATGAGCACATAAGCACCAAAAATGCAAGGTGACCCTCAGCCTACACAGGTAGCTCACCCTCCCTACCCTGCTCAGGGGAGAGCTCCACACCCCTACGCCTCCCTGAATGCTGGACTCAGGGTGGGGAAGAGGTCTTTGGAAAGACCCTGGGACAAGGCTGCAAGGGGAAGGGGCTCACCATAGTGTCGAGTCCAAGAGTGAGGAGCATCAGGAAAAAGATAATGGCCCAGAACGGAGAGAGGGGCAGCCTGGTCAAGGCTTCTGGGTAAACCACAAATGCAATGCCTGGCCCTAGAGGAAGAAGAAAAGCAGTTACGGGCAGACCCAGCTCCAAGCCCCTCTTCCCAGAGCCCAAGACCTCCCCTCCACCCAGAACCTGAATGATGATGACAGTCAACATCTGCTTCTACTGTTCATTACCAGTTTTACTCCTCTCCACACATTCCTAAGATCAGGCTATCTCTCACGCAAGTAACACAAGAAATCACATTTTTTGTTGGATGAGTCAAGGGTAAATACAATAACTACACTGTAATACAGCGATTCTCAACCTGGGTTGATGGAATGATCTGGAGGTCTCCTCAAAGCCTCTTGAATGCACAGATGGGGCTTTGGGGAGGTGACTGAATCACAGCAGCCTGATGCTTATCTGTGGATTAGGCCACTGATGTATTTACAGCTAAATGTGATGATAGGAGGCAAAGCCTGGTTGGAGGAGGTGGGTCACTGGGGTGTGGCCTGGAAGGGTCTGTCTCTTTCCCTCTTCCTCCCTCGGTCTTTCTCTCTGCTTCCTGCTGGCATGCCATAAACTATTTCTTCTCTCCGATGCTCCTCTGCCTTGGAGCCATCTGCCTATGGACTGAACCTCTACAACTGTAAGTCGAAGTAAACTTCTCTTCCTTTAGTTGTAGGTGTTGGGTATTTTGTCTCAGTCATGAAGAAAGTTACTGAGACAGTTGACATTATGTCTCTTCCTTTCCCACATAAACCCAAGGGGATATATGGCCAAGTCTTTAGACCTTTTTTTATTCTCACAACTAAGATGGGGTAGGATGATTACTGGTATCTAGTGTGTAGAGGCAAGGAATATTACTCAGCATTCTCTGTTACAATGGACAGTCTCCCACTAACAAAGGAAAATCCAGCCCAACAAATAGTGCTGACATTGAGAATCCTTGCTCTGAAGGTTAGAATGGACCAGAATGACCTCATTTCCCCCTGTAACTATATTCCCTCCTCATCAGTTCTCCAGAAGCCATGCACATGAAACATGCATGTGTCTAACACTTTCAGGATCTTGCCCTACTCAGTAAAGATGGGGCTACATCAGTCCACTGGTGATTAGTTGGAGAAGAGGGGCAGTGAGAGGTTGAGCATGGCTTGGAGTTGAAATTGGCCTCTAAAGGTCAGACAGGTCTGGTTTGTATCCAGGCTTCATCACTTACCAGCTATGCAACCCTAGACAGGTTTATATAAGCCTCAGTTTTGCCTATCTATAAAATGGGAATAGTAATAATACCTCATAATATGGCTGTGAGGAAGGAACAAATGAAAAAATACCTGGAACATCATCAACACTCACAGAACGTTAGCTTTTATTGTGAGTGAACCATGAGCTTGGCAGTTAGAGGTTCTGATTCAGGGTATTTTTAAGAATACCCCATGCTTGCTGGTGGGGATATCTGAGGTGGTTTTCTCAGCTATTGTAAAGTTCTGCCAGCCATACCTACCTGCCTCAGGGCCCCCCTGGAAAGATCACGGTAACCAAACACATAGAAAGATATGGCAGGTTTGCACATCTTTGCAAGCAGAAAGCTAGATGATACTGCACAGAGACAAGTGAATGACAGCACAGGGAGAATCTACAGCCCACACACGTCTGGAAACAGGAAATCTCAGCACCTGGAGTTTTTATAACTCAGGCATAACAGCACTTTTTAAAACTGGCATTTATCAGGTTGTTAGTTCCTAGTGTTGCCTAGGGCCTCTGGGTATTTAAAATATAAAGCCTCAAACACTTAAGATGCCCCCACTTTACACATTTATTGAGCAGGGTGTGGAGACAGCCTCCAAAGGCTCCTCTATGAACCATAAAAGAAAAGTCTGTGTTAAACTACACTTCAGAATGGGTCTCCAATGCAGAGCAAGGCAGCCAGCTCTGTGCCGTGGCGACAGCCAGGCCCATAAAGCCAGCAAGGTCTTGAAGGGCCACTGCCTGGGACCTCAGTAGGTCGCTTGAACAAGATCAGACCCTTTGGGGGCTTAATTTTAAAATCCTGCTTCAATTTCAGCTGCCTCCCTAACGTACTGGAGTGAAGGCACTCTTTTCAAGCTACATTACAGCAAACTCCACTTACCCAAGGTACCTAGGGAACAGAGTCATGGAGTAAACATTACTGTTTAACATTTCAAATAGCACATGATCTGTCTGAGGGGGCTAAGTCCTGTCTCTCTCCACATACACTGGCAGAGGGTAGAGCCCAGTGGCTGAAGAGTGCGCTCCGCTCCCAAAGATTTCCTCCTCCTCGCCAGGGGCTTTAGCTGAGTCACCTATTCTCTGAGACAAACCTTCATTTTCTTATCTGTGCAATAGAGATGATAACAGTACCTACCCTCATAGTGTTCAGTAAGAATCAAGGTACTAAAACCAGTAAAGGCTTAAAACATGCCCATAATGGTAGGAACTCAGTGGATACACAGCACTGCTACCCTTCCCACTAGAGTGGATCACCGGGGCTTGGGCTCCACATACTAGCAATTTGCAAGGACAGAGATGCCAGCCTTCCTTATCCAGCGGCAGCTCATGAGACATAGCCAGGGGCTCTACCCAACGCAGTACACCAAGACCCACCCGCAGCACAGGTGGATGAGGCCAGCTGTGATGCCCATATCAAAGGGAGTGAATCCCCTGAGGATACAGCACTGGAACTTTGGGCACCAGGGTTGGGACCCCAGGCAATAGACAGGGGTTGGGATGGAGGTTGAGTGGGGAGTATTTTGTTTGAAAGTATTAATTTTGATCATAAGGGTCTCTGAGCTATTCGGGGTAAGACAACGGTGGCACGTCCTAGTTGCCTGGTTGAGAGTTACAATCCTACTTAAGAGTTCTAAATAAAATATTCACATGCATGTTCATCTGTGCAAGTCTGGCCCAGTCTTTCTGATATTGGATAAGCACCACTGTAGGGCTTCAAGTTAGATACTGAAAATGAACCACTGCCCCAAAGATAGCAATGTGAATGGTTGGGAGACACCTCTTGAAAGGCAAAAGATGCACTCAGAAGCTACTTTTCTGGAGTGGATCCCCAAGAAGAATAAGCACCTCTTTCTTCTGCTGTTATAGAAGCAGAGGGCAGCTTGGTCTCAGCCCCAGTACTACCCCCAAATTCTGATATGGCTGAGATTTAGGGTGATACTTTTCACAAAAATGCTTCACTCAGAAGGTCAGGACACACTACTAGGTGTGGTGGTGCATACTTATAATCTCAGCACTCTGGGAGGCTGAGATAGAAGGACTGAAAGCTCTAAGTCCAGCCTGATCAAGCAAGACCCTGCCTCAAAATCTAAAAATAGAATAAAAGAGCTAAGGATGCAGTTCAAGACAAAGGCCTGGGTTCAACCCCTAGTACCACAAGGAAAATAAAAAGGGAATGCTAAATGAATCAGAATTGCATTGAGTCATTAAAGAGAACCTATTTTTGGCTAAATACGAAGACTTGCACCTAGCTTACCGATGTAGGGTCAGCAAACATATCCTGAGTGTCTATATGATAATAATGTCGCTTGGGTAGGACGAAGTAGGGCTGGGATTTAGCACCAGCCTGAACCCAAACAGCTGACCCATATCTGGAGAGATTAACACAACAGGTTAGAATCTGTTAGAAGAGGGGCTGGGGATTTAGCTCAGTGGCAAAAGCGCCTGCCTGGCATGCGCAAGGTCGTGAGTTCGGTTCCCGGTACTGGAGAAAAACCAAAAAAAAAAAAAAAATCTGTTAGAAGTGCTATTGTTGCTGTTAAATCAGAGGAACTGAGAAATAATTGAAAGAGGAAATTTGAGAGAGAAATAGGCAATTATCTGCTGCTTTCTACCTAGAGGATAAATAAAATTCTGTTTGAGGTTTCATTTTCTGTTTTGTTTTGCTTTGGCAACATCCCTTTCCTAGGGCAGAAAAGAGCCCCGAACAGTTAACTTACACTGCCTGCCTCGCAGGAATCACTATTTCTGGCAGCTTGGCCGCTGGTTTCCAACAAGCTCAGTACTGTCACAGGAAATAGCAGAATGTCTCCGATCTACTGAAATTGGGGCAGAACCTCTCTGCTTCAGCGCCTCTGCTGGACGGAAACGAGGTTACAGGACACCTGGGGTTGGGGGGGCTCTGGCGCACGCCCCACACGCACAAATACACACACCTCTCCCTATGACAGAGCCTTTCACCTTCTCTGCCTGCCTCCCAGGGAGTTAGAGACGCCTCAAACTGGAAAACGCATTTGCTCAGCTCCGAGAGCCCCTCTAATTTAGCCACTGCCGCAGAACCAAACATCCCTCGGGTTTCACAGCTCAGTGCGCCCTGGGAACGTGCTGGCTCATTTAACTCTTTAGGGCCCTATCAGCAGGAGGCCAAGTAGTAATTAATTATCCTCGGGGAGCCAGGAGAGATCAGTCAGCCCGCCGAAAAGGTGACATTTCAGAGCTCAGTTCTCTCCCAGCCTTTATCTGAGAGCAGCAGGGAGCTCCTGGAGGGAGGAGGATTGACTACCCAACAAGCCTGTCCCCGGCAGCCCTGTCCCCGGCAGCCCTGCTGGCCCGGTCCCACACACAGGCAGCCCACGGGTACCTAATCAGTGAGCAGATCATAATGACAAACAACAGCCATAAGGAAGACCCTCAAAGCCTTCGAAATACCCAAATCCATTGTAGAACCAGGCTGGGTGGAAATAAAGAGTTAAATAAAAATCTGAAATGCTTTTTCTGCAAAGGCTCTCACAGAGATATGGATTAAATGAGATAAAACATGAAAACTGTCAACTCAAAAGCACCAAATGTTACCCATTCACAGAAGGCTCATCGGCGTAGAGTAAACATTTACCCTACAGCTCCCTGCTACCCACCTACCACCATTCAGTCTTAGCACTCAGAGGGGGAGAACTGCAAGTCCGCTTTGCTAACTAAGCAGAAGGCCTTGAGAACACATTTGATCTAGCAAGCAGGAAAGTGCTTTGCAAGGCAAAGGCTCCCGCGAGTCAGCACTCATTAAACCACAGTGCTCAGTTGCCAAGGGCGTCCTCCTGCGGCAGGCCTGCTGGCCGCCCCGCTCCAGGGCATCAGGTTTGCCTAATGAATCCTCTACTGGGACCTAAACAGTATAGACCTGACCTGCACAGGCTGGGACAGAATTAAGAGAAGCAAGAAAAGACAAAGGAGAGGAAAGAAAAGAAGGAAAGTGGGTTTGAAAGCAACCTTTCTGGCTAGAGACAGGCGAGTTTGAACTCTGCACTAAGCGTCTTACTGGCGATTGTCCTGGTCCCTCTGTAAGGGCACACTTGGGCTCCCTCAGCCTCCTCCTGCCCTCGAGAGCCACCTTCCCAACACAGGGCACATGAGGAGCCCAGGAGGTGAGCCCACAGCCCGCCCCCTTACCTTGGTCCGCCACGTTCTCGATGTTGACTTTGCGCTCATTGGCCATGAAGCCAATGACAGAAAAGATGACGAAGCCCGCAAAGATGCTTGTGGCACTGTTGGTGCAGGTTACAATTAGAGTGTCCCTGAGAGGAAGAGACCAGAGTTGGCCGTTAGGTGGGCTTTGCGGGAGGGACAAGAGGAAGGACAAACAAAATATGCCGTGTGCGTGTGTGTGAATGTGCGCGTGCACACACATGCGCACATACACACACATACCCAGGCATAGGTAGGTCATCTCCAAACAGGCGTTCACCCAAGAAAAGAACAAGCCATTCTGATCACAGATGCCCTTAGCCTTACTTGAAAAGGCACAGAAAGGCTCAAAGACACTTGGCCCAACTGCCTGACCCAGGGCCTCTGAAGGAGGCTTTAGCTTTGTATGCTTAGAACTGGGTCTCAATGACCCACTATGATCTAAACAGCTAGGCGGCCTCAGAAGTGGGGCCACTAGGGAGGTCCTACCTCTGCTGTCATGGTGAGGATGAGTGCCCTTGCAACAGAGCTGCAGGGCCTGTGTGGCTCTCTCACCAGCCAGGGCACAGAAACAGGGCTCCATCTGGAGCTGAGCCCAAGCCCTCCCCAAATACTGCACCTTCTGGCACCTCTGCATCAAATTTCCACTCCTACTCCATTAACCTGCTCACCCACACACCCACATCTGTACACCTCATTTCCACCCCAGGACATCTCTGCCGCTTCGAAGGTGACCCCTCCTGGACCTGCACACCTGCCCAGTGTAAATCTCACCTCATGAAGACACAGCTTGCTTGTGGTCCTTCCTCTAAGCTTCAGAGATGCTTGAGAAGTCTGACCCTTAGTCAAGGTTCTTGCAATACCAAGTGAATGAATGGACTCCTGTGGCAGTTGCTATGGACTCACTATTTTCCCAGGCATGGCCTGGGCTTCCAGACCCGGTTACTAGGACCGCTTATGCATGACCTAGAAAATATGAGCTTTGGCTGCCCTAAAAATGGGAGCAAGGGTGCACTGCTCCAGACCCAGGTGACCAGAGGTATTGAAGCCAAGGACACACTCTATTCTAATGTGACCGGCATTCATCATGGTCATCAGCACTAGCCCTCATCACCATCCTTTGCTCCCAACAGTATTATCATAAAGTGCTCGTGACACTGCAAGCTAAGCCCAGATCTCCAGGGCTCCATGGTTCTGTACTAGGCACAGGCTTTGCTCCCTGTTCCATGAGCTTTTCTAAAATTGAGTAAACTTGAGCTCAAAAAGCCTGTTGCATCTTGTGAGTATGACTCTTTGAACCCAAAGCCACACCCATGATCTTGCACCTCTCCACCTCTATCCTAAACCATTTGAATACAGGGACACATTTTGAACGTCTCTTCCTTGTTCTTTGTTCACAAAGTATCACATACATTATTTAAAAAAATAACAATAGCAGTTGCCATTTACTGAATACCTACTGGTGCAAAACATAGCTCTCAGAGCTTTGTATACGTCATCATTTGCCCCTCTACAAAATATTACAATCTGTGTTTTATAGATGACACAATGGGCGCTTAGAGAAGGAAGGGTCTTGTCCATGATTTTAAGCTTTAGGGTGTGGTGAAGCCATAATCCAATCACCTGTCAGGTTTTCAGGTGCTCTTTCCTCTATGTGATGCTGCCTTTCCTAGAGGATCCCTAGAAAAATATTCATCAAGGCATTGATGACCATGCTTTATAAGTGACGCTATGACTTTATACGTGGACAAGAGGGCTCACAGATGGCTAACACAGAACACAGCTGGCTGTACAGCAGCCTCCAGAGGGGCTCAGTTCCATCCCCTAAGATGCCACTGAGACCCCATCATGAGTCGGGGTCCAGCAGCCCTGGAAGGTCACTTCTCCCAGAAGGAGGTCACTTCTCCCTTCTCCACTCTATCTCAGGTGAGGAGGAGGAGGGATGTGACCTCCAGACCCCGCTAACTCAGTCCACTCTTCTGTCCCTGGCCCTATTTTTGCTCACTAGCACCCTGTGGATGTTTGAAATACTCCACATACCTGTAGCAGTTGTTGTGGAATTTATTGTAAGAAGAAAGAGTGATGAGACCTCCCCAGGCAGCAGATAGAGAGAAGAAAATCTGAGTGGCAGCATCTTTCCACACCTGGGAGGCAAAGCAGAGGACAGTCAAGGTCGCTGAAGGAGACGACAGGGCTCGGGGGAGGGGAGTCTCACAGACATGGTACCACCTTGTCTTCCCGGGAAAGAACAGTCAGGGACAGGACGAGTTTGGACACCAACATCAATGATAAATGCGCCTCGCTTGCGCCTGAGGCCGAAGTCCATTAAATTACCTGGGAGGTTTTAACTCTGTCTCATCGAAGGTGAGAAACTCAATGAATCCTGTGCATACTTCATGCTTATATTTCTATCATGCAATACCAGATAGAAAGGGACAGCCCTGTCTGGGCTGATACATTCTCAAAGAACAATTCATGGATACAAAACCATGGATACAAAATATTGACTTGATAATTTCTGTGGATTACAACTGCTACTAAAACCCTGAAAACCTGCAGCCCCTGATCATAGTAATGTAACCTCAGAGACACAAGAGTGAGCCTCACAGAACCACATTCTTCCTGAGCTTGGCTCATGACACAACTTGGTTCTGTCACATAATTCCTCTTGAATGTCCTCATAAAACCCCAGTGCATGCAACAGTTTGAGCTACACACTTACAATTTACATGATGGTCCTCCAATCGTCTTTATAAATTCAATCCTGTTTTTAAATTGTGCTTAAGGTATGCAAAGACCAAGTTCAAGTGTGTCCTGGAAAAGTCCATGCCCACCCCACGTCCTCCCCCACCTGCCCTGAGACACAGAACTGGGACTGACCTAGGGGCAGCTATATGCCCACTTTCCCATCTAAGGGAGGTGCAGACTTGGTTGCTAGGTAATCATAGGACTTAGTTTCTGGCCCATTGTGTGAAAATGAATGACATGGAACCCCTAGGGTTTCTCTCCTTTAAAAGAGAGGGCAGTGCCTGTTTTTTTTTAAAGGCAAAAAACCAGAATTTCCAAACAATAGGAGAATAGCCATAATTAATGCATTGCATATTGTTATCTTCAGAGCAGTTACTCAGAGTACGAGACACAGGCGTGAGCTACTGTACAAACAGCATTAGCACAAACCTTTCTTTTCAATGAACTAAGAGAAACTAGCAGAATTATTACCTTAACTACTGCCCTTCCTTCCTTCCCGTTTCCCCATCACAGTTTCCCTTTTCCTTTGAACAATTTCTTCCCATTTCACAATATCTACTGTGCATGTAGGGGTCCTATTTACTCATTCAGTTTCTCACACAAAGCAGACAGAATGATGTTTGTGCATGTGGGTCTGATTTATTTCACTTATGAGTGTGGTCTCACAGTTGCATCCATGTACCTATAAAAGTCTCAAGTTTATCCTTTTTTATGGCTGAGTAGTACTGTTCCCATGTGGATATGACGCCTGGAGCTCTAGTCGCTATACGGAAGCTGTCCATGAGGACGGTGGAGCAGAAAGAGGCGCCTGGGTCCCTGCTGATAGCATGGAGTCACTCAGCTGCCCTTGGTTGTCTGCCATGGAGCCATGGGTGAAAGAGTGATGGTTTAAACTGGTATTGTCTGGAGGTTGTTCTGCACAGCCAAATTCAACACTAGCTGTGTTCTTAACATGTTCTGAAAAAGCAGGCTTTTCTTTAAGGTGGGAAAAATCCATCTCTCTTTAAACACCACCCCCATGCTTTGAGCTCTTTGGATTGCGAATCTTAGAATAAAAGAAAGGTCAAGCGTGTGTTGATCCTGCATGGGTTTGCAAAAGTTTTCAAATGTGTCTGAAGCCTCTAACATAATAGAATTGCTTTCGGTTTACCTAAGTGCTGTTATTTCACAGCCAGCAGAACTCTATTTCCCACATACTATAATTAGCAGCAGATAAGTGGTGTGAGATGGCCCAAAGCTATTAAAGGGATTTCACTCTTCATTATCAGCCTGCACTGCAACTCCAGCTGTAGGACAACTATTCCAGGAATCTGAAAATGCTCAGCTGCTCATTGCTCATTCAGTTATGTCCTGAGTGTATAATGTACTGGCCCCATCAGGACCCTGTAGAAGCTGACTGGGGGATTCCCTGGGGAGCACGGCTGCCAAACACCACCCCTCGCAGGACCCATGACCGAGGGCCACCTCCATGCCACCCCCATCCTGTTATCAATGAAGTAGTGAACCCACCGTGGCATCCGTGAGTTTCTCCCACTTCGGGGTGATGAAGTACCAGATGCCAGCCCCGGCTCCAGGCAGGGTGACTCCCCGGATGAGCAGGATCACCAGCACGACATACGGGAACGTGGCCGTGAAGTACACCACCTAGAACACCATTGGGCAGAGAGGCAGGGTGAGCGCATGTGCAGAACGTGTCCTGCGTGTGATGCATACCACAGGCAGGATGGAGCTGCTGCCCAGCAAGGCACCCTCCAGAGCTGGGGACTCAAGGAAGGAGCTAGGACTGACTCAGTCACTTTCCTGTCGCTGGGACAAAATACCTGACACCTACAACTTAAAGGAGTTGAGATTTATTTTAGCTTATGTTTTAGAAGTTTCAGTGTGTGCATGGTCAGTGGCACGGTGGAAGGGCCTGGTAGAAGGAAGGTGAGCATCTCATGGTGGACAGGAAGCACAGAGAAGGGAAGAGCGTGGGAGGTTCACAAATCTATCCAGGTCACACCTTAGGGCCCCATCTCCTCCCACCAGACCCCAATTCCTAACAGCAAGCTAGCCATAAACCCCCGCAGTACAATCACCTTTCCAACATGAGGCTCCGGGTCCACTTTGGATCGAAACCATAACAAGGTCCAAAGATGAAGCAGAGACAGCCAGAAGTAAAGCTTCCCAGGGGAAGGCCTGAGCTGTGGGGGCCAGAAGGGCCAGAAGGCTCGGGTAGGTGTCACCCTGCCCAGCTGCTGAGTGCACAACTCTTCAAGGACCCACAGGGCAAGAGGGAGGCTTCGTTCCTCCCTCCCCTCAAACTCCTCACCCATCACTGATGGAGGCCCCTAATGCCACCGTTAGAGATGAATTCCTTCTGCTTAAGCCTTCATCTCTTCTTACATGAGCCCCCTAAGTGACGCAGTCCAGCAAGATGGAAAGACCGTGATTTTAGACACATTTGAGTTCAAATGAAACAGAACCTCTGGCCCTGAGTAACTGTGACCTTGGACAAGCTATTAAGCTCTCTGAATCTCAATTTTTGGTATCGGTAAACTGGGCACAAAAGCACCTTTCTTACAAATTATCACGAGGATTCAATGAGTGAGTGTGTGACTAGCACCAAGCACCGTACCTGGTCGGTACCATGAGGTCATAAAAGGCAGATGAGTGCAACAAGCATTTACCAGGCTGTTCCTGCAGGGAGGCTGCTACGCCAGTCACTGGCTTGTGAAGATGATGGGACTCAGCAGGAAACAAGGACCGTGTCTGGCTGACGGGAGAGGCAGCTGCCCACAGACCTTAGCAGAAGCGCAGGGAGACGCGTGGAGCTGAGGCCTGAGCTGGCTAAGCGAGGACAGGGGCAGCATCAAGGTGGTGCGACAAGGAGGGAAATGAAGGCAAGACGTGGGCAAGGCGGGCGTGCAAGGGCGAAGCACGGTCTCTGGCTGCAGAAGAGTGTTAGGCTGAGGCCCAGGCGTGATGAGAGACAGCGGAGAAAACCATGTGTGGGTGGCCGTGGGCCCACTAGGGGATTTCTGTGTGCTGAAGAGGGAGGACCAGGGCCCAGGAACACTGGGAAGGAAACTGCTTAACCCCGGAGGCTGGCTGCGGGGGGGGGGGGGGGGGGGGGTGGGAGTTACTTTGCTTCTTTACCTGCCAGTCAAGCTTCAGGGTGAAGGAAGGGCCAAGATCAGGATTTGGTAGATGGGGAGGGGTGTAAACTATGAGCACTTGGGCTCCACAGTCAAATAGGCCTGAGTTCAAATCCTGACTCCACCACTTCCAAGCTGGGTCTCGTGGAAAGTGATTTAACCACTCTGAGTCTCCCTGTCCATACCTGCAAGGTGCTGGTAACAACACTACATTCCTCATGGGCTGTTGGAAGTCTACAGTGGGACAATCCATGCAAAGAGGAACAGGCCCAGGGGCACTGGGAACAAAAATGCCACTTGGGAGGCTTGCCTGGGACTCACCAGTCCCAAATTTAGTAACACTGACACGATAGCTGGCTCACAAAGGACCCCCTCCCCAGTGTGCTAGGAGACACTTGCAGGTGAAGCGAAGCTCCCACTTAGGCCACAGCACCTTCTGTGATGTGTGGGGCAGGCGTTACAGCTGCCTCCATGCCCGATGGCCATCCTGGACCCACCGGACCCGTGGCCCTGTGAGAGGGACAGAGACTCTGCCGCACACCAGCTGGACACCCTGGGGAACCTGGCAGCCAGCAGCAGGCACTGGAATCTCGGGATGGAGACTCATGAGGGGACTTGCAAGGGAGAAGTCTTGGGGAAGGTCAGAGTGGAGACTAAGATCCAACCCCTGGGGTCATGTCATTTATGCAAGTAAATACGCATACAGGGGTACGCACATATGTACCGATGTGTTTAGAGCATCTCACATGTGCCGCGTACAGTTACGTGCCTGGGGCACAACGCTAAGCAGTCAGGTAAGAAGCGCACAGGAGAAAGAGAACAGAGGAGCAGCGAGGGGAGACGGGGCGCAAGCACGGAGGGACGACGTGGCCAAATGGTGGTGCCCAGGCAAGGCCTCCCTGAGAACCTGGCTGAACCTTGAAGAAACAGATGTGAGCCAGTTGGAGATGGGAGAAGATGCCAGGTGGTGGGAAGAGCCGGGATGATGGGCCTCAGAAGAGCGGACCTCCGACTCCCAGGGACAGCAAGGTGGCCAGCAGGAGGAGCAGGAGAGGCCTCTGCAGGGGGAGGGGAGGGACCTATCACAGAGCAGGGCGGGGCCTGGTACAGACTCTGTGATGGAGGCTGGGGCAGAGGAGTAACACAGCCTAGCACTTTAAGAGTGTTACCCGGTGCTGCCTCACCAGTGACTGCAGGGAACCAGGGACAGCGGCGAAGAGGCCGGGGCAGCAAACCAGGCAAGCAATGGCGATGGCTTTGACCAGTATGTCATGGGGGCTGGTGACAGACAGATGCCGGGTGTATCTTCAATTAGAGCAAAAGAATTTCCTGCAGTAGTTAATGTGGTGGGAGGGAGGGAGAAGAAGCCAAGGTTGATGCCTAAGGCTTTGGCCTCAGCACCAGAAAGGGTGGAGCTCCCACTTGCTGAAAAGGCGAAGTGACTTTTGTGTCTAAAGCCAACTGTTCAAGGCCATGCTCTTATTGTCTGGCTGCTGACCCAGGCATGCGCTGGCCTCTTCCTCTTCTCTCCACTGCTGCCCCCGCTGACCAGCCCATCTCTCTCCTGCCCCACCGGAAGCAGCCTGTTCTCCCCTCAGGTCCCCAAGAACTGGCAATGTCAGGCACTGGGGGAGGAGGCAGCAGCCAGCTTCCTCCGCTATCAGCAAAGCTGCTTCTCTCCTCCTCACAGAGTCGAAGGAAGAGCAAAGCCCTGTGAGATGTCACAGAACTCAAGGACACCTGACATCGCAGGAGAGCACTGCCCCACCTCCTCCGAGAGGAGATGCTACAAGAAAGGATGTCGTCTTGGTGGTCTTGATCAGTCTGACTTCTACCCCACTGAGATGGCAACTGGTACAGGGGACAACTAAGGGCCACCTGAGCTGCGACCAGTGGGAAAGAAAGGCAGCAGGCGGAAGCAAAGGAGAACTGATAACCAGATAGCAGGCGCCGGCAGGGGGCAACCTCCAAGACTCCTCGCTCTAAGACTGGTACCCTCTGAGCAGCTGAGATAACCGTCCCCATTTCTCCGTTGGGGGACAGGTTAGGCCTGCCCCTCCTGCAGTGCCCTCAGGGACCAGGTATGTTGCTCAGTTCCATTTTGCAGAGGAGGAGGCTGGGGCTTCATGTTAAGCGTCACACAAGGGATTAAATATCTCATTCAAGGTCTCCCCATTTGAACCAAGATCCAAACCAGGAGCTTTCTCACTCTAATGCTGCTCTTTGCATTGTTCTATGGGCCTCATCGTGGGAAGGGTGCACTATGCTGAGGTAAGTAAGGCACCCAGGGTATAAAATTTAAGGAAACCTCCATGCTTGGGGGCGCCCCACACCCTCAGGAACCTGAATGCTTCCTTAAGGTTTGCCCCCTAAACACTTGCCTGCCCACCTGCTCCCGGCCTGGGTCCAGACAACAGAGCCCCTTTACAGATGATGGCCTTGAACTGAGAGGGCCGACAGTTGGGTTTCTAAATCCAGAAGATGCCTCATCTGTGAGGATTGTGTGCGTGGAGGCATTAGGTACAGGCCTCAGCACGCACCTGCTTCAGGACAAACAGTCAGAGGAATTAAACTTGAGCAGTAATGAATTGTACTTGGCAGGAGTGACAGTGACTAGTTGATATCAGCCTGTTGTCCTGACACCTCGAGGCATCCTCCGCGCCGCAGGAGGCCTGCGCAGGTGGTCAGGCACCAGCAGCCAGCACTGGCTAATTAGGTTGGCTTCGCTCTGCTGCCACAACTTCCAGGCAGCGCAGCCCTGAGCTCAGGTGGGCCACATTTGACCTTCAGGTGGCCTGCGGGTTGCCCCTGCCTCTGGAGTTCTAGCCGCTCAGAGGCCTCAGTCTCCGAAGAAGCAATCAACCATTTATGGCTCCTGGGGTCCTAAGTGACATCCAAGTGCATCCAAGTGACAGTGTTTGCGGAATTTCAATCACGGAGGGTTCATCGTAATGAGCACCTTCAGCCATGCGTTCACCTTGGCTCTCAAGTAATTTCCCATGATTAATGTCTGTGTGACCCAGGGCACGATAATAAAACGCGATTCATTATTTCTGTTGGTATTCCTCACTTTTTAATAAATTGGTCTTTGGCTGGAAACCTTTCTCAGTGAAGCAGGAAGATAAGTTGTCAGGGATAAAAGGAAAACGCACCTGCTCACAACTTTCTACTCTAGAATGCCTACAAAATGTAGCGCCCAGGATTAAGCTCTGGGTCAGTTGAAAGAACTGGCCACAATGCCATTCCAAAAAGCACGACCAATAGAACTTACTAGAATCTTAGAGAATGCTTACTGTAGCTCTTGATTTTGTAAATGAGGAAAATAAGCCCCCCATGCATCCCGCAACCTGTCCCAAGTCGCACAGCTAAACACAGCAGAGATGGGGTGCCTCGCAGGCTCCTGAGTCACCATGGGGGACTTTTATTCCGACTGCACACAAATGACGAGGTCATCGTTTTCATTTCCCATCTACTGCCAGCACCGTCGCCTTGGGAGAGAGTGCCAGGTAGATTCTAGGATTTACAGCAAGCCAGACCTGAGTTCAAATCCCACTACCACCACTTAAAAGCTGTGTGATTTCAGGTGATTTTTCTAAACCTCGATAAACCTCTGCTTCTTGGTCTAGAGAAGGGGAATCAATGTACTCACCAGCGGGGGGTTGAGAGTGAACTGATGCGCGTGAAGCAATCAGCACGGTGCCTGGCACGGAGTGATCCACAAAGCTCCCTTTCTCCTCCCACATTCCCCCAAAAGCCACTGCTTCCAAGAGGCCAAAGTGCATGTTGCCCCCTCAGTACCCCAGGCACTCAGAATAAGACTGCATGGAAAGACTGCATGTCACTGAAGCACTAGCCATATGCCAGCTATTTCACATGCGCTATTCACTCCTCACAGCAGGCCTGTGTGGCATGCACTATTATCCCTAAAGCACAGATCAGCAAACACTTCACAACTAGAAAACAATACAATTACCAGTTCACAATTAGCAAACAGTGCACAGCTAGAAAATGATAAAGCCATTGGTCTCTCTCTGGGGCCCCCACAACCATCCTTCCACATTCCGCCAGGTACACTGCTGTTCTAGCCCTTCTCACTTCTTAGCTCTTCTCCTGCCAGTCTCAACTGCTACCCTATCTGCTAAGTCACGGCTGAAGCCACCTTCTCGCCATCTCCAGCCATAAAGGACCATCCTGCCGGGAGGATTTTGGGTGAGCAAAGATGTGGTTGGCCTTGCTGACCAATCTCTTGGCTGGGCCCTTTGAAGCTGATAGGATCCCCATCCAATCTCAAGAATGCAAGGACACAGGCCACCCTGGCATTGCTGTAAAGGCCACTTTACCACTCCCTTGTCTTCCTACGGTCTTAAAGAAAAACAATTGATCCTGTCTCATGGATGCCAAACCCATTGCAAACCAGCAGGGTGATTTTACAGAAAGGGAAGCTGAATCCAGGGAGGAAAAGGACCCCAGCTCATTCAGCAAGTGTTAACAGAATGTTCGGACTAGAAAGATTGGACCTCACCCAGTGCCGTGGCCACCACCACAGAGATGAGGAAATGGAGTCTCCTGAAACAGCTGAGATGAGAAAATGTTCTTTCCACTTGTTGGCAAAAATATATAAAAGCTAATCACAAATCAAAATCTCAGCCGAGTTTCATGACCAATGGGAAGTGTTCCTAAACAGAAAACACCTTGAGAAGTCCCAGAGGTCAGGAGCCAAGGACTGTTCACCTACAGTCTGGTTCTCTCTAGCTGGCTGGACGCTCTCACACTGAGGGGTACTGGATGTGCCACCTGCCCTGGGCCATCCCGCCAAACCTGCCAGAATGGGCTCGCAAGCCCCTGCATCAATGGATGACACGGAAAGAGCCAGAGAGTGCTATAACCAAGAAGAATGCATGAGCACATCCACATGCCCGGAGAGATTGGTCCATGTGGCCAAGAGGTGCCATGTTTGGGAGCCTGGTGGGGGCTGTGAGGCATGTCTGTGGGTGGGAGGTAAACAGACCAGCCTCCCCATGGGGCCTGATCCTCACAAAGTCCACTGATCATAATACAATCACAGGAAGCCCTGGCTGGGACAACTGGACGAAACTCAACCTACAACCTAGTCTCAGAGTCCACCATCACATCTTCTGTCATTGAGCTGTGACAACATCTTCATTTTCACCCTGAAACATGCAATGCATCTTGAGGCAATGGAATACTATGGGTTGGTTAGCAATACAAGGAGGATTGGTTAAGCTTTCAGTGGGGGTTTTCTAAGACATCAGGAGTACAAAGCAATGTCCATGAGACACTACAGTGCACAGCATGGCTGAGGTCACCAGACTCCTTGCTTTGGCTTGGAACTGAACTGGGGAGAGAGTTTCACCGTCTCCAAAAGGGCCAGCCAAAGTCCAAAGCAAGACAGCCCTACTCAGTGCTGTGGGCATGTGGCGGGGAGAGTGCTGGGCTCGGGAGCTGGGAGAAGGGGTGAATTCGAGAACAAGATGGCCAGCGGCGAGAAGAAACCTGCTTCAGCATTCTGATCTTCAGCCAGCTTCTTGGCAGAAGCAATAACTGATCTGGCAGCAGGACCAAGAGGCATAAAGTCAGCAGCACAGATTCTAGAGTTTATGGGAAGCAACGAAATAATATCAGGGTGGCTCTACCTGCAGAAAGAGGCCGACTCTGACAGAAAAGCACAGAAACTCATCACTGTCCCTGGCCACACCTCAAGGGCTTAATACACATTTGTCTCGCTGAGTCCTTAACCCTGAAGGAAAGGTGTTTCATACCCATTTTACAGATGGGAGCAAAGTCACTTGCCCATGGTCCACAGCTCGTGTGTCATGGTACCACATGCAGAGCCCACACCCACCGGCTCTGTATGTCCCTCAGTGCACCCACTCCTAGGCAGCACAGGTGTTTTCCTTACTTGGGTAAATCCCAGTTCTTACTTTTCCTGAAGTCTTGATTCCTTTAGCCAGGGATGCGTACACGATCACCCAAGCCAGGAAGAGGCAGAAGGCTAGCGGCCATCGGATCTCACCAGGATATTCAATTCCTGCAGAAATCTTCAGCACAAAGTACCTAAGAATCAGAGAGAGGGAAGGGAGAGGGGGAGGAGAAAGAGAAGAAAAGGAGAGGTGAAAATGGCCGTGCTTTAATCTCCCCAAGAGGCAGGAACTTCAACCCCAGCAACGCCCCACAGCCGCCCACGGGACCTCATCCATCAGGCCGGGAAGGGTGTGCAGGTCTGGGCTCTGCTGAGACACTGTCTGGATCTCCCTGCTCCTAATGAAGTGCAGAGAGCCTGCTGGTGGCCCGTGCAGGATTCCGTGCAAAACAACCAGCGCACCATCACCTGCACCTGCTCCGGAAGTGCAGTCAAAATTCTAAACTGCCCAGGATGATTTCCATCTTTTCAGCACTGTTCTGCTCTTGTATGAGAATGCTATTCGAACCTACTTGTATAATTTTAAATGTTAAAAATTGGCGCAAGCCAGACAGGGCGGTGCAATCCCAGCGCTCTGGGAGGCTGCAGTAGGAAAATCTCAAGTTCAAGGCCAGCAGGAATAGCTTAGTGATTTAGCAAGATCGTGCTACAAAAAAAATAAAAAAATAAACACTGGGGATGTAGCTCAATGGAAAGGCTAAGTTCAATCCATCCCTAGTGGTGCAGAGACAGAGAGAGAGAAAGAGAGAGAGGGAGAGAAAGAAAGTAGCGGAAACTGCTTGTGCAAAATGACTAAAACTACTGGCCTGCACTTCAGCCCGGGGTGCATCCTGAGGCTGAGATTGCCTAGAATGTAAAATGCGCTGCTCTGCCCTTACCCTGGGATCGGATTCAAAGACAGGAAGGCAGCCACCAACACAGAGGGCTCTTAGCACCTCTGCTGCTGCTGGCAACCCAGGTGTCCGCGGTGCCAATGCTGACGTCACAGCCCGGCCTCCTGGGGGCAGCAGGGCAGCGCCGGTCCTGGGGACGGGAGGCAGCTCCAAGGACACGGAGTCCCAAGTGGAAGTCAGCCACTTCCCTGTGGAGCCGAGCTAGCTAGCGCCCTGTAGGAAACTGCTGGGCTTGCAAGGGGACATTTTTCTGAGGCCCGCACAAAGGGCCAGCTGGAATCCAGACTCTGGGGCTGTCGAGGGTCCTGAGCCGGTGAGGGCCGTGACATGGCAGTGCTGCTCTGCCCCCGCCAGCCCCCGCCCCAGCCAGCTCATCGCGCCCTGTGCACACAGAGCCTGCCTTTCAGAACAGGAACGGCCAAGCTCTGTGCAGACAGAGCCGCTTCTGGTCCCCAAGCTCAGAAATGCCTGGGCCCCGGGGCTGTGCAGGAGGCCTAGGAGCAGAACTTGGCTGTAAGGCCAAACCTAGGCGGCCATATTTCCCAAGTGATGAAAAGGACCTTTCAGGTGGCCCCGTCTCCAAGTGGGTAAAAGCCCTGGCCATCAATTGCACAACACCTCGGCCATCTCAACTGTACTGTGATTCAGTAAGAGGTCTCACATGGCCAGGAATACTTCTCCTTGGAAATTGTCACTGGCCTGAGGGGTGAGGAGAGGGCACCAAGAGCACGTTTGTGCACCATGCATCAGCCCATCTTGCTGCACGGATTGTGAGGCCAGCTTTGTCCAGTGCCACAAGCCAGCCCCAGTGTCTGAGTGCCCAGGGAGACCCCAAAGTCATCACACTGCCCTGCGGTGGTCAGTCATCCTCTGCGCCCAGCGTTCCTCTCCCTCTGTCCTGCAGGGTATAGCCAGTGCCCTGAGCCCAGGCAGGAGGGAAAACCTAACAGCAGAGCGAGTGCCAATTGGGAAGACCGGGAAGGTGCCAGAGGTCCTTTCTTAAGAAAAATCAAGACCAGGAACTGAAGGCCCCTGGCACCTATGTTGAATTGGGATCCAGCGTTTTATTTGAAGTTTTCTACTAACATTTACAATGAGAGAGAAGACACGACGAGCCAGGTGAACTTCTGTCACGCAGAAGCTGCATGGAGTTGGTGCACATTCCCTCATCCGGCAGTGGTGAGCTGGGGTGAGCGTCGCAGGCCTTCCTGACACATGGCTGGCATCATCCTCAGAGTCCATGCTCTCCACTGTTCTCTATGGCCATCCCTGTTGTGCTTTGCTCTTTTGTGTCCCCTGCCAAGCCCCTGAGGACTTCTGAGTCCATCACTCCTGACTTAAAGGTCCCCTGCACAACATTCTTTATTTACCTCAGTCAGGCTCTCTACCTCCCTTAAGAAACAGTTTCACGAACTCAACTAAATATTTCTATGGCATCTGAGGGTTTTCTCATATCCCTGAGCCTCGGACATCAACATATAACAGGACAGTTATTAGCACACGTCTGTGATCCCAGCACTCTGGGAGGCTGAGGCAGCAGGATCATAAGTTTGAACTCAGCCTGAGCAACTCAGCAACTTAGTGAGACCCTGTTTTAAAATAAAAAATAAAAAGTGCTGGGGGTTGCAGTTCAGCATGAAAGCCCTGGGTTCGATCTCCAGTGCCCCCAAAAGGAATAAAAGCAATCATACAGATGTAGAAGTACAAAACTGAGGTAAAGTAGGAGAAAAAAAGAAAGGAAGAAAATAATTCTTGTTTAAACTACAACTTTGACCATGAATTTTTTTATTATTTTTACCTCTCATTTTTGAAGTATAACTGAGAAAAATAACTTGATAAACTGAAGGTTCCTTAGGTAGCATTGGGTCAAAGTTGTAAAATTTTTCATCTTCAGAGATGGTGGGAGGGAGGACGGAGAACAGGGGTGGAAACGCAGCCAGGAGGGAAGGGAAGGGACATAAAAAGGATTGCGATGTGTTCTGCACAGGGGCCAGCTCCTCGCGGTGCAGGTAATCATTGTGTACTGCACGCAAGTACTAAAGCATATTTTAAAAATAAAATACAATGTGGTGAATGCAGCAGCGCTGACTTTGTTCACCAACTATCATGCAGTCTACTTTTGGAAGCCAAACCAGGAAGACATCTTTGTCCGAATCACTCAAGTACGTAAGAAAGAAAGATGAAGAGGGGGTAACCAGCCTGCAGCCCCCCGTGCCTCTGGTCTGCAAGTGAGCTGCTTATGAATCCAGTGGGATTTCTTAGACTTTTTAAGATGCATGCACACTCACACACACATACACGTGTGCACACACACTCACACAAACACACACACCCCAGCCACCTTACTTGAAGTACTCTTCACTCCCACTGACAAACGTCTTGTTGGCCTGGCTGGTGAAGTTAATCATTGTCAAGTTGGGATAGGCAGTCATACAGAAAGTTGAGTTCTTGATCTGTATCTTGGGGTGGTCGCTGATAACACAGGAGTCTGTGTAGGGGAGAGTGGGACAGAAACAGTGAAATCTGTGCAGAAAGCAGCCACATCTGTCTCTCTACCAGGCTGCAAACAAAAAGCCAGAAGTACCCACCAAGTATCACATGAAGGTTGGAAAGGCATGAACTGAGCCGAGCCAGCTGAGGAGCAATCACAGAGCTGCGTTCTATTCATCCTGGGTGCCCAGTGCCCACAGCCAGACCTTGTTCCACAGCAGAGGACCAGCCTTAGGGTGCATGCTTTGTGGTAGGATAAGCACTTTCCAAGTACTATTTCATTTACTCCTCACATCAACCCATGCAGGAGATATATTATGTCCGCTTTTCAAATGAGAAAATGGGCTTAAAGAGGTTAAGGAACTCAGCCCCGTGTGGTAGTACAGGCCTGTAATCCCAGCATGCAGGGAGGCTGAGGCAAGAGGATCACAAAGACCAGCCCAGCCTGGTCTTGCAACTAGCAAGACCCTGTCTCATTTGTAAGAAAATAGGTGCACCTGGAAAATATCATGTTGAGTGAAATAAACCAGACACACAAGCTTAAATACCAGATGGGTCTTCTCTCTTGAGTGAGGCAAAGAACAAACAAAGAAAATGAGAAAGGATGGGCAGAAAGGGACAAGGGAATGGATCTCTTGCAAAAGGGAACAAAGGTGAGGGATGCAGAGGAGGAAAGGGGGAATAAGAAGAATAAAGATCTATCATGTACAGGAACTTATAACCGCAGTTAATGTGAACATGATGGGCCATAACAGGAGCTAAGACACACATCAACATGGATGAAAAATAGGATGGGGAACTGGATGAGGAGGGAGGGGGAGAGGGCAGGGGAAGGGGCTTGAACAGAAAAAGAAAGAAAGAAGCTCAAATATCTACATGTAAACATTCCCCAAGATGATTGCAAACTATACGGACCGCAAATATGTACAAAAAATTACAAATTCGTAAAAAGACTGTCTCAAAAAATAAATAGGGACTGGGAATGAGTTCAGTTCAAAGGCCCTGGGTTCAATCTCCAGTACAAAACAAAATTTTTAAAGAGAGGTTCAGTAACTACCAAAGTCACATCGCTAATGAAGAAGAGAAACAGATTTTAAGCCTAGATCCTCATGGTGCCACAAAGTAACTGTAGAAATGAATTTAGCCAGAGATAAGCAAACCCCTGCAAGGGCCGCAGATCAACCCACTCACCTTGTACCTACTGCCCTGCACCAGGGCCAGCTCAGTCACTGCTATGAGTACTCCGCTGTGTCCTTCCAACCCTGTCATATAATCATCCTGTGGGAGACCCCACACACGTTTCCCAGTGCGTTTGATCCCGTGGGACATGGGGCTATGTCCGAAGACATCTTTAACTTTCACATCTAGAGGTCCAGGCTTACGGAACCCAAGGGTTAGAAATGTGCTACTCAGTGGGATGCTACTAAATATCCCACAGCACCCAGTGAGCCCCTGCATAAGAAATAAGACAGTCCCAAAGGTCACTCATGTTGGGGCTGAGGGGAGGGAATTGAGCACATGAATCTGACTGTGTCAAGCACCATGCTACACCCTTTTAACAATTACTCACTCGTGAATTCTTCATAAAACTCTGGAAGCATATATTATTATCTTTACTTTAAATAGGAACAAGTCTCTCTGACCATATGACAGATGAATTGGCACATATTTTAAATAGCACTACACTGTTGCCCAAAAGTCTTCTGTGTTTGGCAGGTTGGGTGGGAGGCTGTATACTCATCAGTAGGTTCATGCATCGATGAGTTCATGGCTGCATTGCAGGTAGGCAGTGGGGCCTGGTGGAGGTGCTGCCTGATGGGGAGACCTGGAAGTATGTGTTCTTGGCCCCGCCTCCTTCCTTCTCTCTCCTTCCTGGCTGCCATGAGATGAGCAGATCTCTTCCACCAGGCCCTTCCAGCATGCATCTTTGCCTTGGAGCCAGCCAACCAGGGACTGAACCCAGTGGAAACTGCGTGAGCCAAACCAACCTCTCTTCCTTTAAATTGTGTGTCTGGTACTGTGTCACAGCAATGGGAAAGTGACAAAAATGAAATGTTCACCAGAATTAATCCCAAACGAGATTATTTTGTAAAGGAGCAAATAGGGCTAACAACAGCTGGGTGGCACCTCCCGGGTCTCAGAGACTTATTTAAGCACTTCATATTCATTGGCTATTTTAAGCCTCACACCACCCTGTGAGATGCCCTGTAATTATCTCTGTGTTACAAAGGAAGGAAACTAGTGCACAGAAACACAGTGGCTTGCCAAGGTTCTACATCAAACCATGGAACAAACACTGCTCCTCCCTTTGCAGTCCATGCCCTTAGTTACTCTACAATAAAACAGACAACTGTGATCATGAACTCACTGCCTACGGAGTCCAGGATGGTGACACCAGGAGGAAGCATAAAGGGGGACAATGAGGAGAGGTGGGGACTGCAGCAACAGAACATGTGGCCAGTCCATGCTGTGCTTTCCAGATGTTTTTGCAAAGCATGCAGAAAACCTGGGGATCTATATGAGAGCTTTCATTGCACAATGTTGGAAATAGCCGGGAGGAGTGGCACACACACCTGTAACCCCAGCACTCTGGGAGGCTGAAGCAAGAGGACTGGAAGTTTGAGTTCAGCCAGGGCCACTTTGCAACTTAGCAAGACCTTAGCTCAAAATTTAGAAAATAAATGCGTAAGTAAAAGTTTTAAAAGGGCTAGGGATGTAGTTCAATGCAGAGACTCTCAGTCCAATCTCTAGTACTGGGGGGAGGGGAGGGGATACAATGTTAAAATCTACTTCAAGTACCATGAAAAGAAAGCATAAGACAGAGACTGGAGTGCCTGCTTGAGATTCACCCCTCCATGGGAGAGCGAGGTAGGCAGCACGAGGGCTCTGGAGCTCTGCCCTGCCTGAGGGCCTGGGCCAGCTTTTTCCTCCAAGACCCCGCCCTCTGGTAATAGTGACAATAGTTCCCAGGTCCAGTGAAGTGAAATCACGACTGAAAACATTTTGGCTCTCATGAAGCATCCCTGGCCTCCGCCACCACCCGCCGCCGCAGCCCAGCAAGGTCAGCGAGGCCCTAGGTACCACAGCAGCAGCAGCAGCAGCAGCAACCGCCGCTACAGAAGCTTGCAGTACCGCTTCTCGCCACCGGGCAGCAGGAGCGCGCTTCCCTGAGCCCAGGGCCTAGGGGAGCACGGACCGCTCAACCGAGCTGCTCGGCCCAGCAGCCCCGAACAAAGGACAACGGTGATGATGGGGCTGAATTGCAAAGCTGTCGGAACGGAATTTCTCTTTTCTCGGGCAATTATTAATCAATGAAAGCACAGGAAAGACTGCGGGGGAAAGGGATCATTTAATTAAAGCCCTAATGAAAATTAAGCCATTCAAGAAATAGGAGTGGTGGGGCTGGTGCTCTCATTTGCCTTGGCCCAGCGAGCTCATTTCACCAAACAGTCGCTGGCCTCACTCAGCAGGGGACAGACACAAACACAGACACCCGCGGGCAGAGGCACCTCAGGGACACAGCGTCCAACACAAATGTCACCTTGGAAAATAGGTGGCGAAGTCTCCCTTCTCCCCTAACTGGCATGCGACCCACGCTGCCCACTGGAATGAAGGCCATTCATCCCTTCTCTTCCGGTGGGGTGAGTCAGTAGGTCATCCAGGAGCACTGCTGGGAGAGGCCTGGGACTCTGTGTGCCTGCAGAGACAGTCTGGGACTGCCACTTGCCTGAGAGAGCAAGCGGACACTAAAGCCACCTGTGCCTACGCATCAGGCCACCTTTTGTGAGTCACCCTACACCCCCACAAGAAGAGCTAGAGCCCAGGAGTGGATCACGCACAGATGACACAAAAATGATGGATGAGTGGGCCACACAGAAAAAGGGGGAAGGCTCATGCTTCATTTTTCTATCAAAAAACAAAAAACGCATTACAGCCGCAGCTGAGAACCAGATAGGATCTTCCCAGCCCAGCCATTGGCTCATGGGGAATAATCAGAGTGAAAAATGTCCATTGTCTCTTTGTGCTGCAAGTGCGCATGGTTTTTATGGTTTGTACGGGTCGATCTGAGGCCTGACTGTGCCTCTCATGTTTCCTGAGAGCCAGACAGGAAACTCCACAAATCCACACCAGGCAAAGGGCACAGCCTTGCCTCTGGACCCCAACCACCTGCCTGACCCAGTCAATAGCCTTTGCTTTTAAAAAATATGCACATGCATACATGGAGATGATAAAATAAACACCAATCTGTAACAAAACACATGGAAAAGAATGGCCCCAAATCCACCATTGTTATTATTTTATATATAAGCCTCCTATGTTTGCTATATCACTAGTAAAGATGAAATCATAGTATAAATCAGAGTCTTGCTCTTACACTGAATGTTATATGGAAAAATTTCCCACATTCATGAATATTCATATTTGATGGCAATAGGATACTTTATCCTATAGATGAACCATCATTTATTTGAACTATGGCATTATATGATGATTATATGAATTTTTATCACTCATTTAAGAAGTTCTACTGTTTTCCAATACTGTAAGTATGACTGTAATTAACAATCTTGTGTGATATTTGCTGTCCCTAGTTCCTCCCTGAAGACAGAAAGGGGGTGACTAAGTTCAGTTGCTGCTCATATTTGCTCTGTCTATCATTTCAACCACAAGCAAGAGTTGGGGAACACCGGGAAGGAGGTCACTTCACTGGGACTTATGGGACAGAACCTCTGCAAGGAAGATCCCTTTAGAACCTGGATGAGCAGAGGGTCTGGGGTCCTGTGACCCAAACTCCAGTGTTAGGTCTACCTGGAGACTTATAGCTTGAGCCTCCGCATCCACTTTGTGATCTACAAAATAGCAATCAGGTCACCTGCCTTTTGGAACCCTGAGGAATCACAGAAATATCCTCTGAGGCTGCTTGGTAGATTGGAAAGCAGTTAGTGTAGTCATTAGCACCATGGCTGTGGAAAGCCAGCACACTTGGGTCCAGATCCCAGGTCTACCACACAGCTAGCTCTATGACCTTGAGCTCAAGTTTTCTGTTTTGCGTTTGTTTTGGGTTTTTTTGTTTGTTTGCTTGCTGTGGGGCTTTTTTGTTAGTTAGTTTTGTCTTTTTGAGGGAGGATTTTTGCTATGCAGTTCAGGCTGGCCTTGAACTCACTTTGTAGCACAGGTCAGCCTCAAATTCACAGCAATCCTCCTGCCTCAGCCTCCTGAGTGCTGGGATTACAGGCATGTACCACTTGGCAAGCCCACCAGGCAAGCCCACCAGGCAAGCACACTTGGCAAGCTTAAGTTTTTTTTTCCTGTAATGTGGAAACAATAACAGAACTTATATATTGACATGTCCATCTTAACATGGCTTATATCATAAAAGGGTTTTCACATGGTACCTGGCACGTAGTGAGTGATGTTAATTAGTATTATTAAGTGCACGAATACTAGTGGATATTGTTAATAAAGGAGAAGGATGTTTGTAAACTCCTATCCCATCTGGAGGACAGCTACAGGACACTGTTCTCTGGGACTCACGTGATCCCTGCGGTTAGTCCCCAGGGAAGCATCCCATGAGCCTGAAGCAGTGCGATAGCCCCGCCCCAGCAAGCACTGCCCGGAAAGCCCAGTGTGGAAAGGACAAGTCGGGCTTCGGGATGACCCGTGACTGGGAGTCACTTCTCCCTTCCAGACCCATGTCCTTCTCTAAGCTACAAGACTTTTAAATGTTAGAAGTAAGTGTGTTTGGTTGTTTGAGTTCGTCTCTGTGTGCCCCTAGCATAAGTCCAGGTGTTGAGGAATGTGTGTTCAATCAATCTCTGTTGCACGAGTGAACAGCTCAGAAATGCATCCAGACTTACCTAGTAAAAGTTTGGTTTTATCTTTGCATTCTGGCGTGTTCCAGGGGTTGTTGCAAGAGCCCCAGGGCAGCACAGACACGAAGGAGGCAAACAGGTAGAAAAGTGTGTAGCAAATGATCACATTGTAGTATATGGCTATTAGGACAGAGATGATCAGCATCGCGATGCCACAGCCTGTGGAAGCAAAAATTCCAGGGGTTCATTCTATCCTGGGTGCAGTGGCATTCTTACAGTGGGGCACGGGGTGGGCAGCTAGGTCTCGACTTTCTTGTGTGGATCAGTGTACTAACAATAAAGTGAGCTCTGTGCCCACCAGGGACCCTGGGGTATTCTGCAAGGGGCTCAGTAAGGCTGGGATGGTCTTGGACCATTCTTCAGAAGGATCAAACATAGCAAGGACGGTGTGAGTTCTCTGATGGGATCTCCATCCTAGGGTGGTGTGGCGGCAGAGGGGGTACAGCGGGGAAGCTGAGAGGCTGTCTGGACTCACCTTGGAGAGCTGGGATGGCCTTCCACACGGACACTGGCCCCTGGCTGGCAAACTGGCCCAGAGACACCTCTAGGAAGAAGATCGGCAACCCAGCCAGTGCCAGCATCATCAGGTAAGGGATGAGGAAAGCACCTTGGAAAGAAAGAGTGAGGAGTGAGGGTCCAGGAGGTAAAGACGGGGCTCTGGCCCACTGTCACCCTGTGCAATAGGGGCTGGGCTCCCCCTCAGTACACTAATGCACCTTTAGTGAGCTCCTTTCTGAAGAAGCTTTTGACATTCAGCTCAACAGGCACCCACAGGACATTTTAGAGCCCTCCTCCAAAGCTTCCAAGGGTCCACATGCAAAGACTTGTTTCTGTGTCCCATTATACACTAGTGGCCTGTTATTCTTTATAACACTTCAATTTCTCCAAAGCAAGCCCTTCCAGGGTTCAACAAATCCATGCCTTTGACTCACTATTGCAGGCAGATCTGGGGAAGTCTCATCAGAGTGCAGACCCACAGGACCTAAGCCCTGCTGAGCTAGACTCTCGCAGCCCCCCTTGAAGGAACCCAAGTTCCCTACATGCCTCTGCCCACCAGAGTGAGACCTGCTTCGCCCAGCAGGCATCCAGCAGGCCTCCCACCCACCCAGCACCATACAGCTCTCAACCTCTGGCTGCACCAGTGAGTCCCTGCCATCCTTCCAGGTAGCTCAGATCTCCCTTCTCCTGCAAGTCTACCACCTGCTCCCTCCACAGCACCTTGCCACAGACAGGGTCCTAACATTTACGCAGGTGTCTTGTCCAGACTTTGAGTCCCCTGAAGCTGGCTGCCTGGTATCTCCTGGACCCTCAGAATACCCAGCCCACCGCATAGCACATGGAGGCCTCCCCGGGCGTCCTGGGTTCTCTAGGGCTCTTTCCCTTCAAAGGATTCTTTAGAGGGGCTTGGGGAATTGCCATGATCTTTGAAGAGGGTTTGACCAGGAAGTGCTGTTGCTTGGGTGAAGGTCAATTCACGGACCAGAGATAGCAGAGCCCATCCCGCTGCACTCTCTGCAGGAAAGCGGCTCATCAACACCCCACTGTGGGAGGCTCCTCTCCCACCTTCCTGCCCTTTCCTGCAGAGGGTTCTGGGGGTCTCCAGGCCAGGAAGGCCCAACAGCAGCCACGGGCTGGAGGGGAGCAACACTGGGGAGCCTGCTCCATCCTCTCTGGGCAGCGTCCTGGAGGAAGAGCTCGGTGGGGCCTTCCTTCTGCTCCTGAGAAAGAAGGGGCGAGCCCTCCGCCCGCGCAGATGCTGCGGGGCAGGCAGGCAGAGCCACAGTTCCAGTGAAGAGCATCAGAACCCGGAACTGCTCCCGGGCTGCGGGCGCGCACAGACCGGCACTTGGCAGATCCCCTGAGAGCGCAGCACTGGCACTTTCGTAGGCCGGGGTCCCTCTGCTCCCTGGCCACCCTGCACCCTGCTATCACCCTCTTCCAGCCCCGGGAAGCCTGATTCTACCACCTCCCGCCTGCTGCTTCTGGCACCTAGCTCTGAGGACTCCCTAGAGAAAAGCAGAGAGAAACCTACATGGGTGCCTATTCCGCGTGGCCGGCCCCAACCTTCCGTTTCCAGGGCACCCCTGGTGGCAAAAGCTCTGCAGTGCTCATCAGTCCTTGTCAACACGTCCTACTTTTTTTTTGGGGGGGGGCATCTATTTTTCTGATTTAATCGTGCCCTGGTGAAGCACCTGTCTCTCCCTGAGTGCAGAATTTGGCCTGGAGCAGACCCAAAGGACAAAAAGTAAATAAAATTTTTTTAGAAAACTACGGGGTGGGGCTTCTAATCCCTTTGGTCTACGTGACAAGATGTGGAATTTCTGGGCAGAAATTCCCATTCCTGGAGGGCAACTTGTCAGTTAGCTCATGGAGGCAGGGCTTGCAGATCCCTCAGCCTAGGGCAGGCAAAGCCAGGGGACCTGATTGTGACAGGTCCTGGTCTCTCCCAGTGTGTGGACACAGAGAGACAGTGGAGTCCAGTGGCCCAGCTGCTGGTGAATGCCTGCCATCTTCCCGTCCCGGAAACAATGTTCATTCAAGCACACCTCTTTCACCCAGTTAGGACAAATGAAAACGATTTTGCTCAGATCAAAATACACCTAAGGAGGGGTGAGCTGGGGTGGGGGACCCTGACAGTGATAACCCCCAGCCTCTCCCAGCTCACACCTCCTGACTCCCCTACACCCTCCCTTCTCCACAACTTGGGTCCATTTTCAAAGTCTCTTATGGAGACTCAGATTTCCAGGATCTTTCTAATGAATTTTTAAATCAATTCACATTTGCAATATGTGAAGATTGCATTCCTCATGGGGAGCTGGTACATGTGTATCATGCATCTTAATTCTTTGTATTTCCCCTGCTCCTCTTCCCATTTGCAAAATTCCCTTGTATGAGAAACCCAAAGTATATATAATTTAATGAGCAAATACAGGATAAATAATGGAATTAGGAGATCTTTTTGTAAATGGGAAAGAGATTTCCAGGCTCTGATCTCAAACTGTCCTCCATTTGCGCCTGCCTCCGGGACTGCACAGCTACTGGCTCTAAATTCCACTGGATACCAGGAGGGCTACTGACTCCTAAATACTAGACGGCCAGAGTTCAAGCTTCCCTGGTCAGTGTCCACTTGGCTTGGCATCTAGTCCCCCAAAGTGGGCCAATGGACAGTCACAGGGCCCCACTCTTCTAAGCCCCACCTGCAGAGGATAGTACCAACCAGTTCCATCACTCCTGCCCGCCTTTGGCGCGATGCTACAAGGGATGAGACTAAAGATGAAGGAGGCTCCCCTGGACTTCCCTACTGCCCCTGCCTAAGGGTTCCAGCTTCCCTCCTACTGCCCGGTGCCCACCCCGCAGGTGGAAAGAGCTGAAAAGCCGAAAAAGCCGTACCTCCCCCGTTCTGGAAGGCCAGGTAGGGAAACCTCCAGACATTGCCCAGCCCCACTGCATACCCCACCATGGACAGGATGAAGTCCAGTTTGCTGGACCAGTTCCCTCGAGCCTTATTCTCATCCCCTTGCTCGTCCTCCTGGGGGTGGAAAAGCACATGGTCGGATAACAGCCCCGGGGGCTGAGTTGCAGGCAGGCTCCATTCCACACCGCTCCCCCCCATGAGAGGTCCTTCCCAGCAAGCAGACCCCCACTTTCCATCCGAGAATGCAGAGGATGCATCGGCAAGCAGGGCCCCAACTCCAAAGAAAGGATGCATCTACAAGCAGGCCCCTCACCCTAAAACCCTGCACGGAGAGAGTCTCAGCGAGCAGCTCCAGTGTGGATCTGCAGATCCATCTTAAACAGACCTCCATTCCCTCTTCCCAAATCCTACAGTAGGGGTTACCAGCAAGCAGCTCTCCCCAAACCCTGAGCCCGTAGGTTCATTGCAAGCAGGTCCCTCCATCCCCAATCCCTCGCCAAGAGTTCATTTGGCAAGCATCATGCCTGGGGTTCCCAGCAAGCAAGTTCCCATCCACCCCAAGGAGCCCAAACCTCACTGCACCCCTTCCTCAGCCCTTTCTTCTTTGAAGTGTGTGCCAAGGCCAGAAAGAGAGATGCAGTGCTTCAAGCCAGCCAGAGCATTTGCCTCACTGTCTGCAGAGCCTATAGGCAAAACCTGCCCGGTCAGCTAATTCAAAGAAGGGTCTTTTGACTGGGGGCCAGGGAAATAGGCAAGACAGATTTGGAGGTGATCTGAGAGAGGTCAGGGAAGTAGATGTGCTAAGAGACAGGCCATCTGAGACCTTGAGTTCTAATCTAAACTGTATTACTAACCACATAGATAACTAAGATGAGGGCTTAGAATAACTGTCCCCTCTGGCACCTGCCGATCCAGTGCTCTATGGTCTTTGCGCCCTCTTCTCTGAGCTTTCACTATGACGCTTTCTTGGGACAGTACCTGGTTCTGGAATCCCTCACTCCTGAGCAGAAAGGCCAGGACAAGACCACCTCAGATGAACCCTAAAAGCAGTAGGGACACCGCACGGAGTATCAGGGACTCTGGCCACTGCACAGCCTCTGTATCCACCTCCTCAGTCACCCTTCTCTTCCTCCTCCTTCTCCTTCTGTTGTAACAATCTGTTCTCTTCTCCTCCTTCTCCCCATGCCATTCTAGGGGTTTTGGAGGGAAAACAAGAGCTGTCAGGAGGGAAGGTGGTCTTGGGGATAGAGAAGACCAACAGGGTGGATGTCCACAAGGCAAGATAGGAGAGACGGGAAGGGCTGGGAAAGAAGTATTCTCTGCAGTCTGATCCCTGTAACCTCCTCCCTGCACTCCTCCCACACACAGGCCTCCCAGCCCCAACCCCACCCACCAGTCCTCCCAGGCTCAAAGGGTGGGAGTTTGAGCTCCTTTTGCCGCAGTGCGGTGGTTAAGCCAGGCACGTGAAACGCGTTTTCTATTCTACCTGGGGTCACAGAGTGCAGCTAAAGCACATAGACCAGCACTCTAGAAATAGACCCCAAAAGCAAGGTGAGTGGGACCAGCCAAATTTTTGTTTCTTTGGAGTTATTACAGGCCCTGTCACATGGGCCTGTGGGTAAGCGAGACTGTAGATGTGTGTGTGTGTGTGTGTGCGTGTGTGTGCACAAACACTAGAGTGCCTGAACCAGGCTGCCTGCTCCCTACTGGATACACGCCTTGCCCCTGAGCCCAGACAAGAGAGGAGCTGGGGAAGGTTGGCAGCAGGGAAGGAGACCCCCTTCCCTCCTGACAGAGCTGAGCCCATGAAACTGGACAAATGGAAACAAAGCCTGTGCGGTACAGGAGAGGGGAAACTGCCTCTGCCCCTAGCCAGCTTGGGGATCTGCTCTGTGGATTTTCACGCCTTTGGTTGGACGACAAGGAATCAAATGCAGGGATAGATTCAGGCGATGGAGCGGGAAGGTTGTACCGTTGAAGGTGTCCATGTTAGGGAAAAACGCAAAATTGTGACGGCAAAGTTAGATACCGGGTATTGGAAGGGCTCGGGCAAAGAAAGCGGGAGGTGGCGGGGCGGGGGGGGGGGGTTTGCTGAAGCTTAAGCTTCAGTGAGGTCTGGGCGTTCACAGGGGATAATGTAACTCACAGCATGAAGGCCACACAGCACACTTAGTTATCCTCGCCTCCCCTCACGCACGCTCGGGCCTTTTCTCTGGGTTTCTTTCTAGTTAAAATTTTAGAAAATTTAAGCCCAGCCACTGACAGGAGAGGGTGTCATTTCTGCATACAGAGGTAGAATCTATCGCTTCAACTACTTCCTGGATTCGCACCCGGATTCGCTACATCCGAGGCTGGGAAGAGGAGGTCGCCTCCCCTCTGGCGGGATCGCTGCAGCCTTCCTGCCCTGGCCTGAGAACCCCAGCGCAGTGCGAGCTTCCGAAGCCCCCAAAGCCGCCTTTCGCATCCGCCAACCCCTGGCGCTGCCAACCCCGGGCACTGCCAACCCCTCCCCCCGCAGCACACGTGCACCCCTCGGCCCGCTCGGCTCCCTCGCGCCGCTGGAGAGCGGGAGGCGGCCCGGGCCCGTGCTACCTGCTTACCTGGGCGGCAGCGGTGGCCACGCTGCCCGGCAGCACCGACGCGATTCCGTCCGAGCCCAGCACCACTGTGCTCTGGCTCATGTTTACCCAGCCCACGGCCGCAGTGCTGTTCCGCTCGAGCGTGCCCTTGCCCACGCTCGCGTCCGCGTCCCCGTCCGGGCCGCGCAGAGCCGGGATCTTGCAATGCAGTGCGTTGCCCGCCCCAGCGGCCCCAGGAGCCGGCGCGCCTTCGCTTAAGTCCCTCAGGGCCTCCGAGGCTGCCTGCGCCCGCGGGCTACTGAGTTTGCAAAACCCCGCTCCCTGCCGCTCGGCCTCGCAGGCTCGCAGGTCCGCGAACTGGAAAGTTTGGGCGCCTGTGGAAGCGGACCTGGGCACACGTGGCGGCGGCGCGGCGGCCGCGGGAAGCTCCTGCTCCGGGCTCGTTCTGGGCGCGCACGGGCTGTCCCGGTGGCCCGGCGCCGCGGCCTCCAGGCTGCTGGCTGGTTGCTTATTCATGTCCTTGGGAACTGCAGTCCTGCAAACACAACGTTAAGTTCGTGCAAAAAAAAGAGAAAGAGGCAGCTTAAAAAAAAATCGGCGTCTGCCACTGGAAACGCTCAGAACTCAGGTCCAAGACATACCCGGGGTTGCAAAGGAAACGGGTTTTATTCTTTCTTTCACCACTGTCATCGGTAATTCTCATTTGCCAGCCTCCTTCATAACCGGATGATACAGAAAAGCTAATATTCCCTCCCTGACGGAAGATGAACTAAGAAAAGAGGCAAAAATGTTTTTTTTGGAGGAGAGGAAGAGGTGGGTGAAAATAGTCCTACCAAGCCAAAGGCTCCAGGCTTTCTTTGGATTTCAAATCACGGCTGTGGGGTACCCAAGTCCCCACCACCATTGTAGAAAGATTCTTTAATTTTCCGCCCCATTTCCTTTGTCATTCAACAATGCACATTGCATTTTTTCCCCGGTAGACAAGCTGCGGCCACAAAGCTGATATCCTGGCACCAGAGACTGCTCGAGGCCACGTCGCTGGTGAGAATCCCCGCGCTCCAAACCTACCCCTGCCTGCCAGGTACCAGATGCAAGCAGGAGGGTCACAAGCAAAATAACACTAATGAAAACCCACAACAGTAACAATAAGCCAGATTTAGAAAGTAGTAACGGTGTTTATCATGCCCAGTCTGCATTGACTTCCAGCTCCCCAGAAATGTATAAGAGCATGCAAAGTTTTTCAACTGTTTTTGCTTCCCACCCTGCATAGTATAATATCCTTCACATCCCTACACTTGACTGGGGATAAGAATTCGAGAATAATTTTCATATGCTTTTTTCTGATTGACTCTCCAATGAAAAGAATCTCTAGCAGGGTTTTCCAGCCGCTTTCTTCCCTCGTGTTATTTTTCAGGGCTTCCAACCCATGAGCCCAAATTATTATTATTATACTGTAAGATTAGTCATAGTACTGTCACCTAAGCTTCATGCTTCTCGTGTAACCTCTGTTACAAAGGTACTGATTAGAGCTCTTTCATTTGCACCAAATCTAAGTACCTCAACTTCAGCCTGCGTTCCTGTGTCCTTAACCGCAGCACCCAGAGCGACTCGCCGGAGTACGGGCGGCGGACTTTTCAGCACCTCGGACAGCGCCCGGCGTCCTGTCACTGGGGGCCCACCTCCCTCGAGTTCTACAGCCTAAGAAACCTTCTGACCGCAAAGGGAGGCTCTCAAACACAACCCTAGCTTCTAGAATTGTCCTCCTCACTCCCTCTTGCCCAATGTACAGACATTTCAAAAAGAAATATCCAAAACGAACCTGGACTTCCTATCCCATTAGCCCCCTATCCCCTCCAAGAACACAAGCCAATACTCACCACGTCTGGCACTGGCAAGAGATGGAACCCGTGGAGTGAAACCCGCTATTGACGAGGCTGGGTTTGGCTCCGGCTGCAGAGGCGCTTTCTATATCTCCTTGGGAAAGGCCAGGTTTGCGTCAGTGCAAAGCAAGGTGCCCTTCGGTTGACATCTTCTTGATAATACGAGTTTGATAAATCATTACCCCCTTGGGTTCGAGTTTTAAAGGGACAACAGCCTAGAGTACGCTGGCCAGTCGTCACCGGGGCAGAAGGGGGCTGCGTGTTTGTCGTGACTCATGTGGGGTTGATTACTAAACCAAACCCGATGGGAGGGGACGACAAAAGTTTGCCTCCTCCTAATTAAGGGAAACATGGGAGGGACACGTCCCACTGCACCCAAGGCGGGCTCCAGCGCGCAGCCGCCAGAGAGTGGATTGGGGTAGAGGTGGGGGAGGGGACTACATCACGACAGGGTTTCTCTCTCTCTCCTCCATTAAATTCCGATGCTGTCTCCCCACCTTCAGCAGAATTCAAAATATTAACCAAAAAGGGACTCGGGGTCTGTTAGCACTTAGCCCGTAGCTCTACAATAGCTGCTTCAGGCACAGGTCCTGCATTTGCACGGTTGTGCTCACCTGGTTTGTGTGCAGATTCCAAATTCTTACCTCCCTCCCCTCCCAGGCAGCCAGTTTTGGAGGCATCCTGGATTCTCACTTAAAAACTGAGATCTGGAATTTGCATTTTTATTTCACCTATGTTAACACTAGTAAGAGAAAATCCTCAGTACAACCGGCTGCTCTTACTGTGTTTTTAGATTCTCCTGAACACGTTAGGGAAATAAGAAGGACATTATTTGTAACCCTAACGGATTCTCCGGCCGGTTGCAAAGTCAAAGGAAATCCACTCTTTCTTCACTGCCCTCTTAATAAAAATTCACTAGAGCAGATCTGATTTGAAAACGCATACTGAGACCCCCTCCAAATCAGGGTGCTCAATAACCAGCAGACAGAGCTGTCCATCTGGCAAGCCACTAAGAGGAGGACGTCAACCGTACTGCACCCACTGGGGTTGGGGGTGGCCACGTCAATTACATGAACTTCCCTGTTGGTACAAAGCAATGGCCGATAACAAAGGAGAACACTTTTCCGAGGAAGATATCGTTTGCAGACTGGAAGGGGATTCTCGAGAAAATTCTTCCCTTCTTGCTTTGCCCGCCTAGCTCGGGAACCCCTGGCCTACGGGATGAGAAGCGACAGAAAGCATTGTGCCCCTTACTGCTGCGGCAGCCTGGTCCACCGCCTCGGGGTCCTCGCCGTCGCATCTCTGCACGCCGCGTGAGCTCCACGCCGCGACGGCCGCAGGCGGGGGCTGCGGTGGCAGATTGCAGATTGTAGCGGGCGCCAGAGGGCGGGGGGAGCACTGCAGGCCCCTCCCGCTCGCTCCCCAGCCCGCCTGAGACAGCGGCTGGGAGGGAGAGCAGGGCCTGTGCGCCCAGGCTCCCCCTCCCCTCCGAACCAGCCAGCTAGGGACCCTCGATGTGCACTCTTTGGTGAAGGGAGGTGCGGGTTTTCTGTGGAGACTTTGCCTTGGTGTCGCCTTGCGATTTTCAGGCTGCTTTTGATAGTAGCTTTGAACTAACACTTACTGAGATCTCAGTATTGGACCGCGGTGCCAGGGCTTTCCATGACATCAGCGCATGTAACATTGACCATGGCCTTAAGAAATCGCCTCAATTTGTTCTATTTTGTAAATACTTTCGTTAGGATATGTTTGCCATACATCGTGGGGATTTGGTACATAGACATATTGAGCCTTGATTCTTTTTATATCCCCTTTCCCTCCATCCCAATCTTAAATCTGTTGAAACGGAGACTGAAAATCTGGGAGCCCACGGTAGCCCCTGACACCTCCCACAGGGAGGGAAACCCGGTGAGGCCCAGGAAGAAAGTCCGGGCGGGGCTCAGGTGGCCTCTGGCTGGAGACGGTTCAAGGACAGGAGGGCGCGCGGGGACCAGAAGCACACAGGCAAAGAAGGCTCCAGCCCTGGCTGGCGCCAGCAATCCCCACCCCAGGCTCTTGGCGCCGGGGGGCCTGCAGGGCGATTCTTCCGAAGCGGACCCCAATTTCCGAGAAGGAGCGAAGCAGGGATTGAGAACTGTAGAAGGTAGGCTGCCAGGCCCTGGCATCCGAGACTGGGGCCGCGAAGCACGAACCCAGTTCGGCGTGGGCTCCCTCTGCGGTTCCTGGACGGCCTTGCACCAGCGATAGTCACGACTCGGAAAGGTCTGGACAGTCTCCAGATTTGCATCCCAGCAGCCCCCGCAAAGGGCCGGGAGCAGGAAGAGAGCCCGCTGGAGGCGCAAAGACTGGGCAGGCGGGGGGCGGAGTCGTGCCGGCCTTTCTGCTTCCCACAGCTGCGACCCTGGCCGGCAGTGACGCCCAGCGCCCCCGCGCAGCCTTCAAGCTTGACGTGTCGCCCGCTGACCCTCCCGGCCAAGTGCGCACTCGGGCTCCCGCGTGGGGCCGCGCGTCAGGCCCTGCAGAGGCGGGTGACGCGCAGGAGAAGCTGCGGGGTTGGTGGAGGCGCAGCGCGCTCTCTGCATCTACCCCCACTTTCCAGCCGCAAGATTCTAGAAAGGAGGGGCGAGAAGGTAGTGGAGGTTGAAGTCGGAGCTGACGCCCAGAGGGGTCGCTCTGAGGCCACCGCGGGGAAGAGTAGCCGCCCCTCGGGGTGCGAAGGCAGGAAAGATCGTGAGAAGACCGGGGGCCAAACCCTGGGGTAGCTTGTCGTGCGGGGGGTTAGGTGTCAGAGCCTGCGAAGTGCAGAGGTTGGAGCTGCTGTATTAAAAAAAAAAAAAAAAAGGCAGGAGCGGGCGGGGTGGAAGCCGAGGCCACGTTCCCCGCCTTCGCCGCCTGCTCCGAGTGATAATCCGGCCCCTAGCGCTGCAGCCAAGGCGGCCGTAAATCCACATCCATCACGCGCAGCCGTGCGGTCGGAATTAGCCAGTCACTACGGCTTTAATTACTTTGTCAAAGATGAAAAATAGTAATTGATTTTGTCCTCGATCACTGTGTACCTCCCCCTCCCCTTCTTTGCAGATAAGCAAATAAATAGCTATTTGTGGAAACCCGTGTGCACCCGGGTGTACCGAGGGAGTCTCCAGCAGCCTGACGCCAGGATTGGCGCTGCAGCGTCCGGAGAGGAGAAGGGGAATTCAGGCGGGACAAGGCCCGGAGGACGGTCTCGGGGGTTAGAGTCGCTGCCCTCCTTCTTCCCCGGGGAAGGAAAGGAGAGAGAAAGGAAAGACAAAGGTATCTTACGGGAGGGCGCTTGGGCAACGCCTCCTCAGAGACTCAGGACAGCCGGTGCGGTTTGACAGAGGGAAGAACCTGCCCAGGTCAGTGGGCAGCGCTGGGGACTTGAGCCCAGCTCTGTGTTGATTCGGTGGCACCTCACCGCGGGAATGTGAGCTCTTGTGTCTCTGTTGAGGCGATTTTAATAACGACCCTGCCAACACCTAAAACTTCTACACATGCTGAATCCGAGGGATCAGTGTGATTTTCAGGTGACATTGCTCTTGGTCAAGAAGCCATGCAATACTTTTGTCCCACTTACCTACCACCGTCCAGTTTCATTGTAGCTTTTTTTTTTCAGTGCTA